AACATTTCCGGCAACTGTAATTTATCAGGGATGGCACCACCTTTTAATGTTACAATTTTATAACAAGAAAATATAACTATCAATATATGTATAATTATTTTTTCACACGGAGATATACACATTAACCTTCTATCATCGCCTTAAAATAGGATGCTATGTTTAAGTTGTTGAATAAATAATCATGTATGTCAATTGCTTATTCAAGCGGAAATGAGCATAGCCAGCTACCAATTTTTTGCGTTCATAAATGATAAACGTATATGTATATACTGGCACTTATTTAGATTATCATAGTTTTGACTAACCACTAGGTGTCATAAATTTATCAAAATCAATCTTACTGTCAGGTCTAAGAGTCTTAATTTCACGACGATGTTGTATTTCACTCATGACAACCTCTTTGTTTCTAACACCACAGCAGAATGTGGTGTACACATTTGCATTGCTTGATTACCGATTGGCGTGGTTGAAGACAGAACGACATTATCCATGTAACAGTCAATTTGTATGCAAACTAATTACAATTATTCCAAAAAAAATATTTTCAAAACACACACACATGGAATCGGAGACTGATAGAAACAAGCATATCTATAACTAATGAACCGAAACATTGATTCAACCATCAGATAACGACGTCACCATGACGACTGATAACTCCTCAAATGGAGATGTAAGTTTGAGGGGTGTGTGCTCGTAAGAGCTGAAGACTAAAGGGTTGTAGAATTCACGAAAAAATTAAAAACAAAACACAAAACAAGCAAAATAAAAAAAAATTATTGGAATTTCCTTGGCTATAAACACTTAGCCTTTGAACTTTAAAACGACGTGACGTTATCATATTACTACAGCTTACAGTAATTAGTAATCAACAATGATAAATGATGCATATTCTTATAACTACATATAAATATATGTATCAAAGATAGGTAATTTAGGAACTTTCCTTAATTATAGAGCTAATGCACTTTCCCATCTGCATTTTGAATTTTTCTCAGTCGCCTCCTAGGTTTAAAATTTAGGTCCTTAGCATTACTGAGAGTCCAAGAAGGACGTAACAGCTGTATGATGTAGTTTAATTCAATGTTTGGTGCTGTTGTATCTGATTTACATTTGTATCAAAAAGTATTATTCACTTGTGAGTTTTTGTACAATATCTAAAACACATACTTTTAAACAATACGCAACATCAAGCACTTGTCAAATTTAACATAACTCTTTGCGAACTAGTTCGTAAATTGTAAATATATTACTATGATGGTACTGTCGCAAGCCCGGGACATATGACTATGTATATGGCCCATTAAAAGCAGTCCTCTGCTTTATGCTTGGCAGCACCTTGGTAACTTAAGCATCCGATTTCGAAAAACACCACTTCTGCGTTTGATAGTACTTGAATAAAATCCTTATTTGTATTCAATATTTAATTTACCCAATCACCAATAAACTTTATTTCTGTGCAACGGCAATGTTCAGTGTTTCATTGGAATCAACGGAGAACATATGATATACAGCAATCAAAAATCAATATAACGAGTCATTAAATTGACTGCATTTATTTCTGCATTGTGCAACCATTAATAGTTTTACTGTTGTGTTGAGTATTTCTGCATGGCATGTTTACCCCAATCGATAATAAACTGCCAATCAAGAAACCAGCGTATAAAGGGAGATAATGTTAACTGGATACATATTGAAGTGGTTTCCTGGTAGATTTTACCACAAGCTGTATATTGCTGTTTTTGCTCGTTTATCGGTAAAAGGAAACTTTTCATCCTTGTTTTGATCGTTTCTTGTATCAACGAAGTAACTAGAAACAATTATTTATTGAATACGTTTACCTATTCGGTCGTTTCCATGTTGTGTAAAATAAACTCGTTTTTGTTTTATGGAGCGCGGAATTTTGAAGCTGAATAATCACTACTTGTTCATTGAGCCTTGCTTAAATAACTTTCTATATAGATCTGATAAATTCTTCTCAATTAAAATTTAAGGAAGATAAAGAAAAACAATAAGATTAGTATACCTATTAATTTCGATTATTTACCATACCACGAGAAGAACCTTGTCAGTTTACCAAAATACAAAAGGCTGAATATTTATTCGTTTCTTACATTACTAAGATAGGCTATTTTACTTATTTTCACCGTATTTTACGCTTGCTTCTATCACTTGAAATCATAATTCGTCCAAAAGCTTAGTAGTAAACACCAGGTTGGCCTAATCAGATATGATGCTTACAAAAAATGAAAACCTAACCAAACTGAAACTGCAAATATTTCTAGTGTGTAAGATATTTAACGTTGATAACAATAGGTAAACAGATCGACAAATAGTCTCTCTTCTGAACCCAGAAAACACCAAGCTATAAATAATTATGTAATCCCTAGGATACATCATACTTTTGATCTGATCACATGACTACAACGGAGAACAGAATACACATGTTAAAAACTGTCTGATGTAGTGTTAGTTCACCATTCTGGCTGATAGACACATGTGAAACCGTTTTGAAAATTCAAATTTTATATAGCTGTATCTGAAAATTTAAAATACTCCAATGTTTGGAGAATATGACATTTACTTGGTCTTATGATATTAAATTCTATAAATAATGGGTTTGAGAAGCCTATCAACACTGTTGTAAAAATGACTAACAATCGCAAAGCATCTTTAAATGAGGCTGTACAAAAGGTACACATGTGAATAGCACATTTTGATACAATTTAGAGCTAAATATAATAAAGCCAAACAATGAATCTACTGGCCTCATACAGCTGTATCGTCCTACTAGTACCCGTCAATTATGCTACGGATCCTTATTAATTTTGATTCCAAGAAGGCGACGTAGGAAAGTCCTAAGTGATCGAAAGACAAGTCAAAATCTAGACGGGGAGGTGCACTAGTCCCATAATTGAAATTAAAAGAATATTCATGATCAGATAACTTTAAATCAAAGTCAAGTACATGTGTATGAATTAGAACGTGGCATGTAGATTACGACAATGCAGTGTCGACCTTCTGTCTCGAAGATTGCGAGGAAAACAGTTTCAGGTCTAGCCAGACGAAGCCAGATAATGAAGCAAACTCCGCCATCATACGCTTTGTCCTTCGAGGACTCTTTAGTGATTCTAAGGGTTTAAATTGGTGAATTCTAGGAGGCGAAGAAGGAAGATCTTAACCGTTTCTTCAGATTGTTTGTGTGCAGCACAGTGTTCTCAATATCTTTAGTTAACTAATAATATAACAATACCTTCATTAATAGAAACATTCAGTTTCCAGTCAATTGTTTAATACATTAGCTGTGCGAAATTGCCATTTGTTAACTACGGTTTGAAATTACCAGAACCTTCCCATCTAATCGTGAAATTACCAGAACCTTCCCATCTAATCGTGAAATTACCAGAACCTTCCCATCTAATCGTGAAATTACCAGAACCTTCTCATCTAATCGTTGTAGCCCAACAGTTTCCATTTGTAAACAAAACGAAACAAACCAACAAAAACAATAACGATGACCGATGGTTCAAATAGCTCGTTGTAAATGAGGACCCAGTGTAAAAAATTACGTCACGATTCACACGTCGTGAATCGTGACGTAATTTGTTTACAGTGGGTCCCCGTTCCCATTCATCTGTTTCAGACAGCCAAACATGTGCTCAAGACAAACCCAATGTTATTCAGTGAACACTTGGTTAGTCATAAGATTACTTACCTGACCAGCAACCAGTCTGAATGGTCTGACAGACAGGTGCAGTCAACCGATAAACAGATTATTGCTAAACAAGAAACATGCTTTCATTGTATCGAGTGTCTTGTCAGATAACCGGCCAGCAGCATATCCGGCAAGATGGAAACCAGCGACTGGAGTAGAGGGGTATTTTATATTGCAAAACAGCGATCCGTTCTAAAATATTAAGAGCCAGAGACGGTACTGAGGCCGGATTAGGTGCCAAATTAGTCACAGGGAGATCTGTTTTTAGTATTACCGGCCGGATAACAAGAAAACCGGATAAACGGTGAAAGAATAAACATGGAACCATTGTAATAAACTCGTCTTATTACTTGTATACAGTCTCAAGTATGCCCTAGGTTTAATACAAGTTAACACAACTAAAGTACACAACAGAACACATTATCAGCTTTGAATGAAAACAAATACGTCACGTTAGTTTCTCAAGATGGACCTGGAATAGTAATGTATATATTGTAGAATGTCAATCTCTACATTATGTCACTTATAAATATATATATATATATTGAATCTAGTAATTCTGAAAATGTAGGTGTTTTTCTTATACTTGTTATAGTTTACAGTTGAAAGTGTACATAAATAAGGTATGATTGTCATATATCATTGTCATAGTATTAAAGTATATGTTATGTCTAAAAACGAGATGAAAATACCAACATGTAAACAGAATTTTAATTCGAACTCAGAATCGATTAAACGTGGTCAAAGCCTGATGAAGATTTACAAGGACACCCCTGAGGAAAAACAAAGAGAATAAAACTAGGTTTTCCTGAAACAAACTATGAATTACGCAGTGTCAGTGTAGTGTTAGACACAGTGCTTGGTATGGTAGTCCCTGACGATGTTTTCATGCCCCAGAACATTTGATAAGCAGACGCTGTTAATGTCAGTTATGTTTCCATAAGAGATCTTCGCGTTATACAAACAGATATTTCATGATGGTGAACGTACCAACACTTAACGTTACTAAAAAGCATCTCATATATATCTAAATAAATAATAAAGTGATATACGTATTCGTTCGTTCTGTTTACTCGACACATTTTCAGATAAATCGTTATTGGTACTGTAAAAATGTCGGCGAACTTCTGTATTTGGATGGACGATTCCATTTCATCGATCGTACGTAGATCGCAGTTAAGATAGGTTAGAACGAGGCATTGTATTATACAAATGTCAAGTTATATAAAACCAGTACCATATACACCACTGGATTAACACGTAAAGGTGTATAACTGGTCGCAAGATGGCTTTGGGGGCGAACAGACAAGAAAAAGTCAGACTCAATCTTCGGGGAGTCTTATATGAAACACAACGTACCACAATTTCTTCATTTCCTAATACATTGCTGGCCTCTCTCGATTGCGATTCTGAATACTGGGATGCTGAACGTGATGAATATTTCTTCGAAAGAGATCCGGGAGTCTTCAACTCAGTTCTTAATTTCTACACAACGCATGAGCTTCATCTCCCAAAGAATATCTGTGGCACAGTTTTTCGCAAGGAAGTAGAGTTTTGGAAAATCCCTGTTTCTTACATTTCTGAATGTTGCTGGAAGAACTATTATGACGTTGAGGAAACAGCAGAAATAATGGGTGTTATAAAGAAAGTTGGTGAGGATGTCGTGCATTCCTCAAAACAGGACTATGGGAATATCAATTGTAATAGTACCAGGTACCGGATATGGGTTGCCCTTGACAACCCGAATGTGTCAAAGGCCGCAATGGTAAGCACATGTGTTCATTTGTACTTAACTACAACCATACGTGGTCATATAAAATTGAAATTAGCTATTTTGCATGGCCGATAACTAATATAGTTATTGAATAAGCTCTAAGATATTTTAATAGCGTGTAAAAGAGCTGATAAATTATCTAAACCTGCTGTTGGTTAGATCTAATTCAAGGGCTTTTTATCACCATGGTCTTCATGAGAAATTCACTCCAATTGATCAGGTTGTACATTGTATGTACTCCATTGTTATTTTACTCAAACCCTCGACAACAAAATATGTTACATAATTGCCTGCTCGATTGTTATAATGCATTAACATGACTTCATTATTGGATGTTTACTTACTTCAGCACGCACTGTATATTGTTTATCACGATAACGTACATAATAGTTTTATTATCCATAAACCAGTGTACCATTCATTAGCCGCCAAGCTTTGTCTGATAGATGGACTAATATGACATGATCATTGTTCTGGTGTTCACTGCAATAGGCTCATGTCTTAAACAAATTGAAATGAATATGAAATCAATCACTTTTACAGGTCTGGAACTTGCTGTATATGATGGTGGTTATCGTCAGTACTCTCGTATTCTTCCTGGCATCGATGGAAGAATACCGATCTGATCTCTACCTCTCAACTCTTAAAGAGGTACATGTTAATTATACCATACCTTCGAAGAAGCTTCGAATTTACTACTTAAAAGACATGGACCCTATACTGTTCATCACTGAATACATCTGTATGTTCATATTCACTATAGAATTACTTCTGTATGTCGTGGTGTGCCCATGTCGAAGGCAGATTATCTACAGTCCTATGAAGGTTCTTACCATGCTATTGGTATTGAGTATGTGGGTGTCATTTATATTTGAATTTTACAAAGGGATGATGATTGGGTCTCAGAATACCGCTATATGTTTTATGGTATTTCGATTCATTACTGTATTAAGAGTGGTATTAATTCTAAGACTAGAAAGACACTTTTACGCATTTCGTGTCTTGTTACATGCGATTAGAGCCAGCCTGGAAGAGTTATTTCTCTTATGTTTAGCGTTTGGTGTTGCAACTGTCATTTTCGCGTGTGCTATATTCTATGCTGAAATATTTGATGATGATACATATGATAACCTATTCCTAGCGATGTGGTGGGTCGTTATCACGATGACAACAGTCGGATATGGAGACATCTTTCCCACTACGTCGATGGGATACGTTGTGGGGGTATCATGTGCCATTTTTGGAATCTTAATTATTGCATTGCCTATTGCCGTTATTGCCTCCAACTTTGCCAGTTTTTATTCCTGTAACAACTTTAGAATGCGGCATTTGAAACACGTACGCGAGGAAAGGAATTCACATTAAAATGATATGATGTACCAGACTCTACTGTATATATGTACATGAATGCTACACATTTTAATCATTGAATATTTTCTCTATATTTAAACTTATTCAAGATAAAATTGTTGTACTTGAAACTACGTACAGCTAATAGCTTCATATTACCAAAAATGAAAAGCTCCTCTTATCCAGCCTCCAATTTTCGACTTGTCTCCGGCCGTATATGCTGCCGGCCGGCTATCTGACTACACACAATGAAATACTCCTACCAGTGGGTGTCGTGTTATTCAAACGTTCGCTGGTCATGTAATTAATCTTATGACTTACTAAATGTTCAATGGATACCGCTAGGTTTGTCTTTAGCAACTGTTTGGCTGTAGGAAACGTACACAAATGTCGTCACGATTCACTTGTCGTTGATTTTGTTCATTATAACGAGCTGTTTAACCGTCAGTCATCGCTTTTGTTTTGTTTTTGTGTTTGAATTTGTTTTGTTTGTCTTTTATCATTATTATTATTTTCATTGTTGTTGTTGTTGGTTTATATTTGTTAACAAATGAAAACTGTTAACGTTACAGTGGTTGAAAGAGAAGGCCCTTGTCATTTCCAATGCCTTCCAAGCCATAGTTTAGCCACTGGTAATTTTGTTTACCTAATCTAGCTTGGGACGATATTGTTCACCGCTGGATAAATGTTCCAGAATCAGCAATGATTCTCTATATTCGCTCATAACAGCTTATGTAATTGTGATCTTACAACCTCATTTGAAATCCACTTTTTAGTGCTTCATATAATTTTAGCGCTGCTTTATTCGTTTGTCTTACTCAAATTGTTGTTACTGACAGGAGACAAAACGATTACAGATCATGTTATTGGTCTACATATTGTACTTCAGTAATACAGCCGCTTCATTATCACGCTGGAGTTTTGACGGTACCTTTTGAAGGAGACTACGTGTAAATCTTATTTTTCTTCATATGTTGCCATAGTTTTATGGAATTTGAATTTGACTGATGATTATGTTGACATTTTGGTATTTTCTTGTTTTCTTTTTGTTTTTGTTTTTGTTTTGTTCTGATGAAGCTTTCTATAATAATCAGTCATATGGTTGTGGATGTATATTACAATTTAACAGAGCCCTGAACATCCTGAATTCGTTTTGCGGGAAAAAAGAACATTGATTGTGCATCAAGAAATTGCATACTAATTAATGGCTGACAAGGAAAGCGAATCCCGGCCGTATTAGTGGAAGGCGATTTTCCATCCACCATCTGGGCAATATTGTTTATTGCGATAATAAAACATAGGAGCTGACATCATTCCAGTTACATTTTACAATTTAGTAATCAAATAATAATAGCTTCTTACTGACACCTTATGTCACAAATCTGTCTAAAGCTCCATTTTTCAGAGTTATCCGTTTCGGTTTCAAATACGTTTTCAATTCTGAGGACACAACTCACATATAGACATAATTACAAGAACTAAATTCATTTACACGTACAGAAAATAATGAAAGGTGTTTTTTTTTTTCGAAATGGAAGTGCCTATACTCTCTAAATTGATTAAGTGACTCTCTAAATGCGTTTAAATTTATATATCTGTAAATAGGAAATGTTTGTAACCTTTAACCTAATAACAAGTACCTTGTTGCCATTGATTGTCTGGTTTTACTGTAAGGCTGCTATGGAAACTCAAGAAGTCGATCCAATGATGCAGATGTGAATGAATATGTTTTGTGAAGATATTGATATATATATAATCAGCGCGATGCCGACGACAGGACAGCAAAGACAAATGACAGTGAATCATGCTATTAAGCCAGGAGAAACATATGATTCTTCTTCTGAATCAATAGTTCTTTTTTAATACCAAATTATACATGCATGTAGTTGTCAGCATTCATAACCATACCTGGACATACATTCAACGACCATTTGGTGTTTTAAAGTAAAAGTATACAACGTTATTGTTAATTATTTATCATAGCGTCCGGTACAATTATCTGTTATATCATCGGATATTGTTATAGTATTGATCACGAACTTCGACTTTCAAAGCAGTGTAAATTGATGGTGTTGCCAACGCAAAGCTCTGACAGTTGTGAATAAATAGTTAAGATCAAGTGACGAATTGATGCATAAACGACACGATACAACTTGTATATAGTATTCCGGTGTATCTGGTCTTCAACATTTGTATGCTTCTGATTGTGACTTATGTATGACCTATTATTGATTTGTATTAAGTTCATATATATCTATATATATATGCTCTACAGAAAAAAATGACGCAATTTCTTAACATGTGTTTCGAAGCTCAATAGTTCAATGATTGTCCATCTTGGGTTAAATCACTGAATGTACAAATGACTGCCCAAATGAATATATCGTCCCAAGTGTGTTTCCTTTCAATTTACAAATGATCAAATAAAGCAGCATTAAATGGCATTAAATAGCATTAAGTGCTTCGTTTTGTGAACATTCGATGAGGGAGAACAAAAATGTTGCTTATCTTGACGGTTAAATAAATAATAGGAATAGGAGTCTTTCTATCGTTTTATCAATTTCATCCTATCAAGATTTTATATGGGAAATATATTCCATACCTAGCCAGCTGGCCTTTGTTATTGAATCTGTAGCATTAAGTATCAAGATGATTAGGTCTACTGTTAGTAGATACGCACAAATATTTCCATAACTATAACAGATAATATGTACATATGTCTTTGTCAGATAAAACATACGGAATAATTCTATTTCATAACGATTATTGATCTAATTACAAATTATATAGTGCTTCTATGATCTACAATATATGGTGATAGACACTGCTGGTTGACTTTTATTCCCTGCAGTTTGCCGTAACAAGTATGTCACGTCTTATTTCATTCGAACAATGACACGATTCAAAATATACACATGTACTTGGCGTTATCTTGAAATCAAGCAATATTGAAATTAATGAGATTGTAAGAATTTAGACATTTTTAATACACTTTTCGTTGATTTTTTTCCTCTGTCAACACCTAGAATTAATTATTGAGGCATCACCATTGATGAGTCTTAGAAAGACAAAACAGCTGTATCATGCAATTTAATTCATCATTTTGATGTATTGTGTCTTTATCTTGATTCTAAATTTGTATGGAATGGTTCTAAGATTCTACATTTGTATGAAATGGTACTAAACTCGTGTGTGTCTTTCATTCGAATCGTAGATTACATTTCAGTGTAATTTTTGTAAGTATGTTAAACATGGCAAGGTCACTTATTTCATATCGTTGTAACAAGTTTGACATTACACCTCATTTCTTCTTAAACTGCGAGAGTCTGATTTCCTCTGTTGTATTTTGTGTACGAGTTTTATACTATTTGGAAACAAAAGGACTATTCTAATTTTTGCCTGCACAAGTTAATTTCGTCTTATAAATAGAAATGTATCTCTCAATAACTTTTTCAGAAAAGGCTTAATTTTACGTTATTGTTAGCATTTGTTTTAAAGTAGAAATCCATATTGGGCAACGGTTCGGGAAGTGTAATAACGTTACAGTCTATATGTATTTAATTAAACTGTTTGTTTTATCACTGTAGAAGATCGATTTTCCATTCACGTTATTACAGGTACTTGTAAAGCAACTATTATTTTTAACTACCACGTCTTGAGCGAGTGCTAACTTTTTAACAAGATGTATAACAAAAAACATGTAAGTTACGTAATCAAAAGTGATACAATGTAGGCTGGCCAATGTGTGTAATTTGAAGTTGGTAATATAGTTATCTCGTACAAGCTTCAGGACTTCGGTAAAATTAGAGTGTTCTCGTGAGAATGATAGTTGAATTCAATAAGTCATTTCAAACGATTCCCTACTCATGGGGATTCTAAACAAAAAAAAATAACAATTTGATTAGTTTTAAACGATTCGAAAGCAATATCGTTAAAAATCGATATTTATATATGCATAATTCATATGTCGTCTTGGTGACATATGATGTACCATATCGCTTCATTATTTCCAACAGAATAATCCTGGATGAAGCTATGTAGTAACATTATAACATGGTGTGTCATAGGGTTGTCCTATGTCACAACTGTTTGGAAAACATTTGTCAACAAGAATGGCTGATCAATCAGAAGAAATTAGTAGGACCCTTATCAGACTAAATAAGTTGGGTACACCTTGGATACTATTCAAAGTAATCGAAGTAATCAAAGATCAGTGGGGGAAATCTAACGGTATCAGCAACTACTGCTCTAGGGAAATTATATGTCCTTGATGTAAATATGAATTCTGCATGAAGTGCATCAACACATCAGATTCTCGCTATCTATGCAAAGCTAACAAAGACCTTTCTGGCATGCCACGGTTGTGCTATATCTGCGAAAGTACTCAGCCAACCACATGAGTACATAAACAAATCACTGCAAGAAAAATGTTTTTTAACTTGCGGAAATAATGAACAAAATTAGGGTGGGATTAAAATCAACAACAAAAAGATCAAGCAAGGCCGACACAATGAAGAAACCACGAATGTGGTTGATGTCATGATGGACGAACGATTCAGCTAAGGAAGATAATACCATTGGTCATAGTTTTGGGAGACAAAAAACAAACTAACACTGCTCCTGCAAGTGTAAGAATGGATAAAAAAATCACTAGACCTATCCAGAGAGTAGAAATATTCATAAACCTTACAAAACTACATAGAATGAATAAGGAGAAGTCACTAGACATATTCAGAGAGTAAAAGTATTCATAATCTTACCCGTACGTTATATGTATTAACTAGTGTACAATTTGAAATTTAAAGGCAATTTGAAACATAATGACGTTAAAAGAGAATATCGTGGAATCCGACAAAACAAAAGCAAAAGGAGATCATCTCATAATATTTTTGTGTGTAAAGTTGTCCAAACAGCTTTGATATAAACAACTCACTGCTTAATTTTGAAGTTTTATTATTCTGGAACATCACACCTACTGATATTGTGGAATCACAACACGAAAGCAATTAGTTGGTCAACCTATTGAACTTCTGTAAAAGAATAGCACATGTTTAAAGAAGATCTGTAATTGCTTCCTTCGTCAGCATGTTCGCCAATTAACAAGATTAAGTGAGATTCTTGAATGAGTTTTTATAAATTAGGAAAAAACGGAGGAGGAAGTAATTTACAATCCGTGATAAGGAAACAATGACCATTTAGTGTTGACTTTCGATCCGAAAACAACCTTGACCAGCCAAACTTTCACTAGTGACTATGCGGCCATCAGGGGTAAAGTCTCCGTTCTAAACACTAACAAACTAGCATTACAGATCAAGTTAAAGAATATATACCAGTGAGCAAAGCAAGAACAAGGACAACAACATAACCATATATCAATAAAGAAGCATTTAAGACAATTAAAGTCAAACACCAAAACATTGAATATATTCATTGCGGAAAGAGAATGAACCAAGCATTGTTTGCTGTTGGAATTACACTCCAAAGTTACAAAAGAGAAATAGCGAGTTACATCAACCTGAATATGAAACCTTTCTTGAATTATGTACAAAACAGTTGTAGGTGCAGTTTAAATCATAGTTTGTCTTTACTGTATCTAAATATAATTTGAAATTAAAGGTGCTAATCACCCATGTGTCCTTTGTTTGTTCAGTCTACGAGATTGCAGGTGGTAGACACTGCTAGTGGACTTTTAGTCTCTAGGGTTTGCATACAACGTTTGTTTTATTTCTTTCCAATAATTGCATGATTCAGAAAATACATATGAACTTTACTTTGTTCTAATGGTATAAGATGTATGGAAACTGGAATTTATTTAATTATGGGGGTTTTGATTTTTCTTCCGATTACTGATTTTCCGCATTCGCCTCCAAGGTTTCAAAATGTATCCAGTTAGTATCACTGACGAGTCCTAGCGGAACAAAACAGGGGAGCTAACTATCAATGTTATTGAGACCACTAATGTTCTGAATGTCTGTTGTATTGGCATTCGCCCTACGATGCTTTACAGGAAGAAACTACCAATTTGCACTCTCGGACATAACATATATAAAAGGTGACGTAGAGAAATCAAGAAACTTAACCATAACATATCAACCAGACCAGATGACCTCTATCCAAAGCTTTTAAGTAAAATGTCGAACTTTTTCTCAGAATCACTCACAAGTTAATCCAGTAAGGACATCTACCAGCAGAATAGTTGATGGCAAATGTTTGTTCAATTGCAAAATAGGCTCGACCAAATCTCCAGTGTAAAATGTAAAGTGCTTCAACGCAAAGTACTTAAGGATAAAAGCAATTTATTATTTTTTTTAAAGTCAACACGATTCAGAGCACGAAATCAATTACCACTCAAATCCTGGAAGTTACAGGTGATTGGAAAGCCGCTATGGAAAAGTTACAGATCAACAACGCTTTTGACACGTGATGCGTAGGTTACTGAAAGAAGTTGAAAGCTACAGATATCAAATGAAAAGTACACAACTGGATAAAAATTTACTGATTAACAAGAAACATAGAATAACCATAAATTACTTTCTTCAAAAATACCGAAAGCGGTGTTATCGGGCTACTTGTGTTCCATATTTAGATAGCCGTACACAGTTTCTCGGTGTGGCCATGGGTGATTTTTTTTGCTCATTAGATTACCCCATTACAAAGGTTTTAATTAAAAATGAAAAAAAAAATCCTTGCTAAAATTGGTCCTGTCATGTTTAGGTGGACAATGTGGGGTTTCATTTTTTTCAGGATAATATTTTAGTTTTGTGTTGGAGATTACTATTTGGGCAGTCTCGAATCTGTGTCTACGCACCAAAAACTAGCTTTACAGGAAGTGAAAGTTTCATAGTGTTTACATGTGGTCATGTTATGAAGGATTTCCGAGTTGGAATTTGCTGAAATGTAAGTACGTTGTTACCACGACGTTGTTTTTGCTTTTAAGATAGGTGTTTAGAGTTAAATCTAGAAAGTTGTAGTGTTAGGTTGAAATTAGAAGTATTTTTGTATTTTTTCAGTAGGTAACCATGACAATCAAATGTCAGAAATCAAAGGAAATTTTTGATTTACACAAATTTCATCTCTCTACTATTAATGTAATTGTTATGTAGTTTATAAATATATATACATGTAATGATGTATTTTTCATAACCAATCTGCTATACCTTTATATCTCAAACATGACCAATGATTTCAGGAAAAATGCAAATTAACTGTTTCCTGCTACCTTGCATCAATGACATGCCGGAAGCAGTTGACTTTATCATAACATTATATGCTGACGACAGTAAGTATCAGCAATGGATGATATATTTATTCTATAAATAACATCGGGACTGCTAACAACTTCTGTAAATATTTCGTGAGGGATTTATTTTCGCGTTTATATGCAAGACAATGACATCCATGTTGGTTTAGTTACTGGTATCAGGTACTGAAGAGTCCAGGTCTCTCATAACTGAATTGAAAATAATTTCTAGATCAACGTTCATATATTCGTGAATATACCTGAAGAGTTACGTTCGCGAAGTAAAAGTATTTGTGAAGGATTTACAGTACGTGGATGGAATGAAACGCCTGATGAATCTGAATTTGGGAAATTCTAAACATATGGAGCTATAACAAATACTATCAGTACAACATTTTTGACCATTCAGAGGCCAAGACTGTGTTGTCACAGTGACTGGTTTTGAAATACCTGATAAATTTCAAGTCAGTTGGATGCTCGACAAACAACGATTTCTCAAAATGCATAGCCGGACAAATTTGACTCAGGAGGGCTCCTTGAGGAAGAGAAATGCAAAGTCACTTCAGGGGCATATCTCCACATTGTACTGACCATTCCCCAAAATATTTTTAAAATCCGTTGTAAACTGGGTGAATGCAATGATTCCATTACACCAAACTTTGTTGCGGAGGTATAATGATTAATTTCAGAAGTGAACCCGATACAGAATATAACATGCAACTCCATTACTGTGAGGTTTCTATACAGAATACTAATTTCAGAAGTCCGATACGGACTATAACATACAAATCCATTACTGCGGGGTATCCATTTTAAGTTCTCCTCGCTGTGTTTATGCAGAATAGTTATTGTAAGCAAAACACCCTATACCAACAATAGTATACTATTCTGCTTTTGGAACATAATTATTTGCCTGCAGTTTCCAAATGAAATTATCCCGTCATAGGATGTCTGTTACACCTTTCCCATCCATCGTCATTCAAGACCTCTCACAAGCGTCTATTCAAGCAAGGTAGAGCTATTTTACATAAAATGACAGTTTATTACGAATTTGTTGTAAAACAAATAAAGTTTATATTTTCATCTTCATCCATATTCTACTTATTCTATATATATTAACTGGTAGAGGAAATCGATCATCAGCGAATATCAATTAGTGTTAACAGCGGGTTTTATTGTGTAATTAATTAAGTAAGTAGGTGATGCGGAGGATGCACTCTCCATATGTGAACATAGGAATGGAAGTTCTATATTTCCCCAATCCGCAAATACATATCTCAATTAATATTTAACATTGGAGATAAAAGTACTGTTTCTTTGAAATAGAACTGATTTGACTTTCTTGCTTCATCGGAAATTAGCGCAGCAAGTTTCTCTCGGGGAGTAAAATCAGACAGGAAACATCTTTCTCAAAGTATCACATTACAAAATATTACGTGATATGCTTGTCAGAACTGATCTCCATTGTTATATAAGTGATCAGCGAATCAACCAACTTGATCAATAATGTGTCTGTTTACATGTTGGGGCGCCGCTTTACTATTTATTTCATTTAAAAGATATCACTAATTCATTATGATGATACCAGAGAGATAGCATTAATTCTATATAGTAATATCCTTAATGCGTTAAAGTGATTTCATCAATACTTCATACCTTTTTGTAATAATGAAATAAATATAATAGATTGGTGATATTACCTCATCGTTTTAGTGGTATCAACAAAAAGTAGCGCGAGTAAAACGGCGTCCCATAGCTGCCAACTATAAATAAATGTTTGCGAAATTTGCCTCTACACACGCGTAACGTGTACACAAACAGTGGTGTGCAGATCACGCGGCATCCCACGAACAGTAAACCTGTGAGGTACAGTTTTGACTGACAGAGGCGATCTTTTCACACAGGACATCATCGCAGAGAGAAGGGTCCCACAGGTAAGTAAACTGGACATCATATTTTTTACTATTTCTTACCGTAATGTCTATAATTTCGTTACTCAACGTGAAATTTCGGGTTTAGATATCATCCCTCGATTGCATACGCTTTTTCTGAGTGTGCAAAAATAGGTCAAATATTTTCCCAAGATCTGTTGGTTAGAAATACTTGTATGTACGACCAATGCAGGACATAATACACACCAGCGAGGAATGTTGCTCGGAGTGATATATTGGAAATTCCACTGTGTTGTGATGCTCGTCTACAACTAACCATCACTGGTATCAAATTAAGTTCATTTCAAACGTTATTTTCTGAATAGCCCTCAAGTAATGTATTTCTAAAACCCCTGACATTTACTGTAGTCAATAACTTCTCAATAAAGGATGTGTATAAAATTTTGCCATACAGCGTCCTATGTCTGTTGGGGGACCACACTATCTGACATGTACACAAACGATCGTGTGTGCATGAACGCAGCACTGCTGTGATACATCTTAATCCATGTAAAACTCGGCCAACATCTCAATGATACACTGTACAGTTGGGGCGTAACCGATTTGGCGTTTTAGGATATATTTCAAGAGGAGATGATAAATAATGTTTCCATTAGGACAAATCCTAAGTATACATCGAGTATGAGTACGTTTGGAATCGCCAACAATGGATGTCTGATTAGCCAAAATTTTATTAAAATCTCCCCCTAGACTTTTTAATGATATTCTATGACAAAGATACCATGTAATAACTATAGTAAAACAATTACATTTAATTCTCTTTACACATGTCGGATCTATGATTGGCTGAAGGGTCACATTTTTCAAATGTGACATACTCTTTAATAACAGCATGAGACAGAAGTGAGAATATTACCAGTTCAAAGTTTACATTAGACTAATAAAGCGCTGCTTTGTTTAAACGAGTATTTGCAAAAGTAACTACATTGTATGTGATGTGATAGAAAGAATCTCATACCCTTTCCCGTTTTATATGAAGTTTTTGTAACTCGTCACGATTATTTTTCATCTTATCGAGTCTCTGACTATAAGACTCGTTTTTTTATCTCACGTGGAGGGACAATTATGTAAGATCTATCGTATATGTGATAAAGTGTAAATAATTCACACTCTCGTTAGTTAAGTTACTGTCTTTATTCTTATTATAGATTGTTTAGTGAAGTGAGATTACAATACCAACACATGTGTGGTCACATAGTCAACGGTAATTATGACTGTTGGGGACTGGCTACTCGGCTAATAGAGGATGTAAACGTCCAGTGACAGTTATGGTCACCCATTCCTTATCGTTGAAACTACGTTACACTGGGTATTGTATCCGATCAGTAGGGGTTGAACAGCAGATGTTTCATCTGCCATGTCAAATAGGTCCCACGTTACCTCTGTAAAAGCGTGGGAAATGACAGTTAAAATACCACTTCCCATCACTTCTCGAGACTAGCCGTATTTTCTCAGTTTTCGCTTATACAAATGTTGTCACCATGCGTAATATATGTACCACAATTCATGCGAATCAGAAGATCAAGGTCTCGTCGTAAACTGAAGCCACTTATATATATGTGATAAATGCCATAGTAAATTTTCCAAATTCTGGAAAAAATCTTAGAATGCAAATGTTTCAAACAGAGTTTATTGAGATTAGAAAATTCAGAAACGTGAAATCTAATTGACTAAATCCCTATTTACATTCCATGAATAAAGAACGATGTGCTTTCGATGGGTTTTGTTTAAAACCAATATTTGTCATTTTATATCAAAACACTACGATTCTGATGATATACGCAAAAACAATGTTTTTGTTTTGCTTTTGTGATTAACGCCCTTGTCAAATGAGGACAGTCGCGCATGTCAAGAGGGAAACATTAAGTATAATGCATAGCACAGAATCATTCATAGTGTCAGAATGCTTACAGCAGAGCTATTTTGATCTCTTCCTGTCTCCCGGAACCTAATGGTCACAAACTTGAAAAGTGATATATATTCTTAAACATCCTCTTTGGGTCTATACCAGTCGTCCTGGTGCGGTTTCTTTAATTATGGAACTATGAGACTATTAAGACTAAGGAGTCTTTGCTATCTTTAAAGAGCCATATGTGTTCATTTTCATTTTGTTTTCGTGGCTTACTTGCTTACTTCTATGGATAACTTGAGTATATCGATAACATCGTTTGCCGAAATATCGATATTTAACATGAAGTTTTGTTAATATGCATAAAGAGATATCGAAGCCGTGTAACACATTTTTGTGGGAAAGTTATATTTAGAAATGTTCAAAAGAGAATTGTACTTCACCTGTTCAATTAACAAACACTTTAATAAATTTCTAGATTTCCAAAGATGGCGGAACATAATTGTCCACGTATAGCTGTGATCATCGTCACAGTCTTTGTGTACATCGTCATGATAGCCTTTAATGCTTTATCTGGAGCTGGCGGACAAGCGCTGGGTAAGTAAATCTAAAATCGCTTTGTATATGAACAACAACAAACAAACAAACGTTAGATACTATCATTGAAAACTCAAACAATACAAAAACAAAATGCTAAGAAGATAAACGAACCTGATCTGTACCAACGTGTTTTGATAACGATCAGTTGAAGGGATATGCTGTGAAATGCTGCTAATTAATATCCAAAACGTACAATTTCAGAAATACGTAGAAATATTATCCTTCATTACTAGCTATAACAAATAATAAATTGCAAAGCAAAAGATTGATAGATATCCATATAAAATCAAATTATTTCAGAAACAATCGTAAAATCTTGCATATTTTAATTTCTGGGAGTAAGTGAAGTGCCCTTTCGGTCAAAGTTCATGTTATCAACCAATCAAATAACCGGAAGGTCACACAAATGTCTCAGAGTGGAATATGAGAATAAGAAGGTGTTTTATTTGAAATTTATGAAACTGCAACAGAAAGTTCTGCAATAGTCGATTAATGTTTAAGTCCACAAAATACTTCACCTGTATTTGTTTATTGTATTTACAGGGATATTCAACAGCACTGTCGGTGACGTCTCCGATATTTTCTATCTCGAGGTGACTCCCGCGGGCTGGACGTTCAGTATCTGGGGCTTCATATACACATGGCAGGCCCTCTGGCTCATCTACGCCCTCACCACCATCTGTCGTAAAACTAAATCTGGAACCTACATCTACCAACTTCCGGTTCTTCCTCCAATAATATATGTATTGTACATTTTCAATAACATTTGCCTTGTCTCGTGGTTGTTTGTCTGGGATAGGAAAGAACTTATTTGGGCTTTAGTTACAATTGCCTTACTTCCTATCACTCTCGCTATAGCCCTCTTCTTTTCGTTCCGAAGGCTGTATCACAACCTCGAAGAACTTACAGAAGATGAGGCTGTCCGAGACATCTGGCTCATACGTTTCTTGGTACAAAATGGCATGGCTTTCTTTGGTGCATGGGTAACCATAGCTACACTACTGAACGCTGCCATGGTGATGACCTACAGAGGTAACCTTACGAATGAAGATGCTTGCACAACTGCCTTGGGTATTTTGTCCTGCATCATTGTCACATGGTTTCTCCTTGACAATACAATACTGGACCGATATGTACGGTACACTTTCAGCCCCTACATTACACTTACTATTGGACTCAGTGGTGCCGTCGCTAAGAATTATGACATTCAACTTCATTATAGAAATTCCATCTTTTTGTTGACTCTTCTTGTTGTCGCTGCGGTGATGCTTATTACCAAATTCCATATCATGATATTTCGCCATTTTCGGAAGCCTATTTCTTCTAAAATGCAATATAACATGAATGCTGAAATTTAAGTAGTCACTCTGTTTATTTTTTTCTTGTCATTTTGAAGTAAATTGAGAACAGATATTTATCGTCTGTTCTGTGTAAGGAACATGGATTTCTAAAATTACCGTTAAGTGGCTTGCCCCAAGATCGGTCAGTCTCTCAGCTTCCTGAGAAACTCAAACCGCCATGGTAGGTAGTCTCACCACACACCTCAGATCTCCACCTTGTTATGAATATCTAGGCCAACGCTCTATCAACCCAGCTGTTGTAGCCTCAAAGATATTTTTGTATGATAATTATTACTTTATTGTCGACTACTTGACGACATGTCCTTAGGAACAAAGAACATGTGATGGTTGATGGTTAATGTTATGTAAAACATACCTTAAGGAGCACTAAATGTGTACCAGGTAAAGAATCAGTCATCGGACCACTGTATATTTTGTATATGACGTTTTTAACTCTTTTAGTTTAGCTATATTCGTCTTTGTACGGAAGCCGGTTCGTGCAAGTATTTTTTCTCGTAATTACGACTTAATTATCTCGTAATTACGACTTAATTATCTTGTAAGTACGACTTAGGTATCTCATTTTTTCGACCTCACTATGACGTAACTAAGTCTTAATTACGAGATAAAAAAAATACTTCAAGTGGCACTTACTGGCTTCCGTAATTTAGTGAGCCACAGTATTTTTATTCGAAAACAAAGATACAACTTGTGCGAGATATACTTAAAGTACATCTTGACGCATTGGGTAGTAGGGCATTATTATCAATGACTAGAAGCTTCAGCTGTTAATCCAAGATGGAAGGATAATTTGCTGATATTACAAGTATGAATGTCATCTGAAAGCCGTATATTATTTATATATCAGTTTCATAAATATCTTTTATGCCATGTGAAATTTGAACCTAGGCGTTTAACACGATAGATTATGTAACGTTTATGTGCATTTCGTTGGATAAAATATTGAGATTCAGATGTGTTGACCTTTACGTTTGTTTGGTGTCAGATATGATGACGTGAATAATGTAACTTTGGTATGGTCATGTAAATGCCGGTTGGAAATTGATATTTGATGATAACAGCTAGACCTCTGTATCAAACTTATAAGGTATCAATATGGTATCCTAGATCACTACATCATCGTTACCTATTTCCCGATGGGATTTGTGCATTAATGCTAACTGAGTTAATGAATGTAAAAGTTTGGTGACTTCTTCATTTTTCAACGTTTTGCGAAATATGTATTATTTCATCAAATTTCTTAACCGACATTTTTTCCCATAGTTTTTTTTTATTATTGTTATAATTTTCAATCGGATGATTCCAAATCTTGTACCCAGCTTCATTTCGGTTTTGTCAAGGGCAGTAATACAAGCGAGATTTCAATATACTCACATTTTTAGAGAGTTACTATTCATACCGGAGAAAATACTGCTATTTGATTTCATTTTGCTTTTAGATTCAATTCAAATGTTTGTTAGAGTGACAAGCTTCAGAATAAAAAAAAATAAACACTGTTTATGTGTAAAATTTCATATACATCTCTCTTCTCAGTTAGTGTCAGTGAAGTTTATTTAATTATATGAATCTCCAGTTTGTATAACATGCAGTTGACACTTGCCACATATAGTTTTGCTGTTTTCAGCAATGACGGAAAACAGCTGTATTTTAGCACGTGTGGTAATTCGATAGAATTACTCTCTGAATTTACTTAAAAATTACGTTAAAAATATGAATTATTTATAAAAAAAGGCGTTATTATATGTTGTAATTAACACTTTTATTTAGGAAAATTCATAAAATCGTTGTCATATCCGTTGAAGTTTGTCTTCCTTCTTCCTAGCCAAAATACAGCTTATATTTTAAGACACTGTTCATGTACATTTATTCTCTATATACCTGATGTGATATTACCATTATCATGCTTAAGATCAAACGCAATTTGTTTGAGAAGATATACATATATAGGCATGAACTGCCTTTTTCATTGCTTCACTCAACTCATTTATACACCATTTTAATGAAACATTCAAATAATCAAATCCAAGTAATTATATTTTACATTTGTTATATGATATATATTTTATTATATTTTATTATATGCATACTGTATAACAAACAGATATCACAATTACTTCCAAATAATGAGTGACGAAGGTTTCCGAGTCTATAACCGAAAATACGTAAACAGGAAACCATATGTGTTCTTATCTTCATTAGTAAGAATTTGTGTTTTCAAACGTGTTTAGCAATATTCAGACCATGAATGCGTACATTTGTCAAATTTATTTGAATTGTTTAAAGTTTTAGTATGTTTTATTTCCATTTAAAAGCCTGAAAAGATAGTGTTTTGATTTCTGACGTCATTTTCTAATTGTCTGTTTCTTCTGTTCTAATACATTGTAAAACTTATACGGTGCCGGATATGATAAAGCATAGCTACATGTGTATACTTGTATTACGGAGAGGACATTGATAACAAGTGTCCTATACTTTTATATATTATTTATGTAATAAAAATGGTTTTAATTTCAGTGTTGTTTATGACTGAGTGAGGTGACATGGTTATGACATTTCAGTAGGATAACACTAGGAGTCCATCATTACCCCTATTATACGTGGACTCTGGCATCATATGTCCCATATTATCACTAGGACATATAACAATTTATCACATAACCGACCCGTTTTCCCATGTCATACGCCCATGTCATAATAATGGTAATACACATGTGTAATAAAGGTTTGGGGTCTGCTGATTGGTCAAAACCGTGGGAACGTATTCATACGCCAGCGCGCGTACTACTTTTATTTACTACGACAACAAACTGTAGTAGAATATGGCTGACCAGATCAACATTGGCGACACAGTTTTTATTGATAAGAAGGGGACTGGTGTGGTGAAGGTGATATTCTTACGGGGGTTGCTGTATTTTATAATGTTGAATTGTGTGGGATTGACTTTCAAATTGAGCTTGAGCCGAACCTGATGACCCGTGATGACGAGGTGAGGTGACGTCACGTTACCAATATCAAGTGAATTTCCAGATTTTTTTCGTTTTTTTTTGTAATTTTTAAAAGTTATTTTGACATTAAATAGAATTTAAATGCTTTACTTTGTCGATATTATTTTGGAACATAATCTCTTATTCAATCATTGAAAAAAGGTACTATTTGCAACACGGATGGGTAAAACTATGATTGCTGTGCGTTGGTTTTGACCTATATAGAAACAGCTGATTGCATAGTGGAAGTAAATCGTAGTTTTCTGGCGATTTTTGCATTTTAATTGGTTATGTGATAAATAGAATCTTACACTCGTGTCAAAGTATTATGGAATTTATTAAACTCGTTCCATAAATTGATATGCCACTCGCCGATTGACACTCATGTAAGATCCTCTATTTACCAACCTCCATTTGAAGAAATACGAAACCAAGCTGGACATCATTCGTGAAAGATTTATACAAAGACTGTCAAAATCAAATATCTAGTAACGGTTTCAGAAAACCATAGATTTTTTCTGTGTGCCTTTGTCCCAAATTTAACAATCAGAATAATCACATTCTTCAATTATTAAATCTTGATCCTCAGAAATACACCTAGGGATTTCCTAATTATTTCAGGAAGTACATGTAATTACCTTTACCTCCTTTTGTCGGATACTGATGATTCCATAAACAACATATTCTTTGATTAGCTTGTCTAGTAGTGCATTTACTTAATGCTTGTAAAACTGTTAAAAATATGGTCTGCGACTAAACAGTAGTCATTTTCCATTCAAGTCTCTCATATTCTTATTTTCATTCACAACTTTCCTATATCTATTAAAGCGGCAGAAAAATAAACAAGAAAACTCTGTAATCAATTCAATGTATATATTACAAAATTTAATAATGCCATAAAAATGTACAAAACATATACATAAGTTATCTATAAGCTCTCAAATTTGTTTCTGTGAAAATATTGTTCCCCTACTTAATAACACAGGTACTTCACTTGTATAAGGGAGACAACCGCGACGTTACAGTTATATAAACAAGACGAGACAGTGGCTTAAATAACAGAGAAAATGAAATAAATTTACGATATAACAAAAATACACGCAGACAATCGCATCTAATGAAGGTGGTCCTAACAGCGTTGACTTGGTACATGGTTCAGATTTAATACCAGCAACGTCAGACCGGTAAGACTAGAGCACCAAGTAGTATATCACGGAAAATATAGCAATTGTTCACATCTAGTAATACGTGAATGACATGCAGTATACACCTAAAGAAACGGATAAACAATATACAAAACTGTCAACTAACATGTCACTCTACTTTAACAACCATTTAACACTATATGAAAACATCAACTCGTTAACTTGTTTCTCTTGAATCCTACGATGGTATTCATTGTGAACAGATTATGCGATTTCCTTATTTGGAGAAAGTATTTGCAATGTCGAAATGACTTATAGCTAATACTTTTGCTGCATTTATGCAATAAAGTACGTTTAAATCAATCAAATATATATAAGGTAATGCAGACCTAGATTATGATGTTGTGTTATAAAAAGTATGTGATGTCGGACCAGAAGCGGAATAAAATTATTATTTTGTTCATTACACTTAAGAAAACAGCACATTTAAAGCACCGGTCTGAATGCAACTCAGGCCTTCAGTTGTGTCACTCATATAGTTGGTTCATATTCTATTTTTGGTGAAATAGGATTTTTAAAATGACGTACAAGCATTACGATAATTTTAGTGAGCAGTAACACGCCAGCTATGATGAGAAGAGTTAATGAAAACAGAGAATTCCGTTCACGGATATCAAGGTCATAGTTCTTAGAAACCACACCACCGAGTGCCATGGTTAAGGTAATGTAGGGACTGAAGGTGTACCGAACGTAACGGTCGAAAACCGTGTTTTCTAGGATGACCCACGTGGCTATGATAGCAGACAACATACCCAGAACGGCAGTACAGGCATCTTCATTAGAAATGCCGCCTTTATATGTCATCACCATAGCAACATTAAGCAAAGTGGCTATGGTAACCCAGGTGGCGTAGAAAGCCATGCCATTCTGTACTAAGAGGCGGATGAGCCAGATGTCTTTGACAGCGTTCTCCTTATTTAGCTTTCCAAGGTTATGGTACAGCCTCCGAAAAGAGAAGAACAGTGCCACATAGAGCGTGATCGGGGTAAGGGCAATGACCACTAGTGACCACACTATTTCCTGTGTATCCCACACGAACAACCAGGCGACGTTTGCAATGTTGTTTAGAATGTATGAAACATAGATGACTGGAGGAAGAACCGGAAGTAGGTAGATGTAGGTTCCAGATTTAGTTTTACGACAGATGGTGGTGAGGGCGTAGATAAGCCAAAGAGCCTGCCATGCGTAGATGAATCCCCAAATACTGAACGTCCAGCCCGCGGGGGTGATCTGGAGTCTGAACACATTCGAGATTTCACCGGTTGTGTTCTTAAATAGTCCTGCAAGTAAAACAGCAGCTGTATTTCACAATCAAACCTAACAAGGAATATTCAGTGAATACAACACGAATTGGAGACTCTGTAAAGTCACATTAATACATGGGACTAAGTACTACTGAATAGGAGCTACACTCGATGTTTTCTGTAAGATCTATGTGGACAAGTGGCTGGTTGTGCTTCGGAAGTCGCTGTGAGTAGAGGGCAGAGGCAAAAGTATTTACACTAAATAAGATCTTGACCTCTAACAATGTGTTTTGAAACTCACCGGACATATCTACCCCCCACCAGTATCCCATCCCGACCATCACCTCGAGAATTTTACTTGCATAGTAATAATATAAACTTGCAGAAGTTTGAAAGATGTTGTTGTAATCTATCTGGTAACCAAATTGTTCACAGATCAATTTTCGGCTGAAGTAATATTTATTTAGAGAACACCAGTCAGTTTGTCCACTTACCAATTTTTTGTCCGACAGATCCAGCCAGAGAGTTGAACACCACCATGACGATGTATATAGCAACTGTCATGATGATCAGTAGAATACGCAAGCCGTTGTGGTCCGCCATCTTGGAGACTCTAAAACAGAAAATTTAACGACTCCATTATAGAGACATAAGGATATGACTGTACTGTATCGAGGTGTTTAACAAGCGAACACGTCGCATATGAATCGCTGATTTTAGATTTGTTTCATCTTCACATTGGTTAGACAAAAAAGATGTCTCCAAAATTTGGCACAGTTCATTTTGTTGCATACCTATTTTTATCGAGACAAAACCGCGAATGATAAGAGTCCTTCACCTTCTTGTTTGTGAGAGAGAGAGAGAGACGGAGCAGATGTTTCTACCCCACCTGACAGAAATATCCACACTTCCGGTGAGGGTAACACGCACAGAAAGTGACATTTCAGATTCGTGTTATTGTTATTGACGTCATTTTTATGACGTGTCGCGGTCAATTGGGGTCAATGACGTCATTTACACTTGTCATCCGGGCCTCAATGCAAATGACCATACCAATGGTTATAATGTAGATGGTATATTTATTTGCTTATTAATCTTTACGTGGACAAAAACGGTAGAAAAATGATAATTCCCTACCTTGAGGACAGGATAGATAAATCCCCACCTGGGGAGGAGATTTCTGACAGTCCGAGGGTTAGGCTGTCAGGAATCTCCTCCCTAGGCAGAGATTTCTCTGTCCTACCCTCCAGGTTGAGAAAGATCCTATTAATCCTCACCTATACTGGTGTGACATTTTCTGACCTCGCTCTAAGTTTGATACGCGGGGTCGGGGTTTCCCTTTTATATTGATGACGTCACATCAAATAATTGTGATAGAAAAGGGGAGAGTATGTGGGGAGGGGTATGTAAAGATTACTACTAATCCACAGTTTTACTGGTTTAATATATCGCTCTTCGGGCCAGGTGAGCTAATAACACATGTCCTGGCCTATCTGGAAACGTGAAATCACCACTCGCTTTGTGCGGTCTATTTACACATATGACGGTTACTATTTATTGAACGCGGTCAGCAGTGGTCTGTATGTGTATGTGCCAGAGGGCGGAGCCTCATTAACCTATAACATGTATGTATGGTTATCTTATCACGTGCTGTACTTAAGATGTCCATCAGTGTTTAACGTAAATATAGCCTCATTTACTTTGGAGCAAACAATTCCCTGGGCAGATTACTTTCAAAACTGGATCCGTCCTTTATGGTAGAGGAGAAATGTCTCCGTTTGGGTACATGTCTTCAGTCCAAAAAAACTGACTATATTAGCATGGGCTTCACAATTCTAATGGAATGCCACAGGGTCGTTTTTTGATGTATTATGTGCCTCGGCGCATCGGCCGTCGACATCTGTTCATTCACCGAACACTAATTCTGAGCCTGTTTTCATAGTTAGGAATGCTATGTAACTTTATTGCAAATTTCTTGAAAATACCAAACGGTTCAGGACGTTGCATTAAATTAACTGAAACATTTATATGTGATGATCATGTTTTAACTGTACCGTCAATCAACACCAAGAAATACATTATATCATACTCTATACGGACACCGCTACCACATCAAGTGTATACTCCAACAATTATAAATATTGTGAACCTTAATCAGTTTTAAAAGGGCTCACCACGCACTCAGCTATAGATTTAAATTGTTGATCACGTGATATAAATCAGATTAACTTTTGACATAATCCGTGCAGATTTGTTTTAATACTGATATTCCCCCAATGTTACCGTGCGTTAAAAACTAGTGAAAGTATCGTTTATACAGTGTATACGTAATGTAATATACGTACCGTTCCGCTGCGTGCTTCACCCAATAGTTTTTTCTCAAATATGTCACACCGTGCTTCGTTTCGTTGTTTATATCCTCAGGTTTTCAAACCTCGTGAGTAGACACGTGATAATTTATTTCCTTACATAAATACACTTGAAATTGTGTTACGGTAAATTCTTACCCATTAAAAATCTACCAGGAACGAACGACACACTTAACTATCTACATGAATATTACAGGTCCTATATGTATGCATGTGTATATACGAATGGCAATGGTAAAAAAATAACACGCTTATATATATATATATATATATATATATATAAACAGATAATCATTCATCTGATTGAAACATCTGTTACAGAATTATAAAAACGAATTTTAGAAAAAAAAATTAGTAGTGTTTTCGGTAACAGCAAACCGATTTTAGCCGTGTTGCTAATAATTTGACATCTTCACACTTGAACAATAGCAAAATTTTAGCCACACTAATGAAATATATATGTTATGGTTGAACACGTGATAAAATATCCTCTACACAATGATTGCACAAAAGTGTAATAGAACTGGTACTTATGTACAGTTAAAAGGCACATACCATTTGAATTTTAGGCGCTTTTGACCAAACATATTCGATTATCACACCTGTTCGCATCTGGTTCAGTATAAGTGAATTATTGCGGACTTTGTGGTTGGGAATACTTGAGCTAAGAACGATTTTCTGTTGAATGGTGACCTTAGACTTATTTGGGTTGGGGTATAATTTACCAGGGGTAGAAATTGGGGCGTGTTATTATATAACTGAGAAAATTTGTAAACACGAGTCATCTCCCTTCCCCAGTGAGTAATGTTATGATGGCTCAGTTCGTGTTAAGGATGAGCACGGTTTTAAGTGCGGTTACCTTCTGAAAGGCGAAAAAGGAGGTCATTACTTTTCTTAACGTGACGGAATTGTCAGTGACAAACAAAGCATGTCACGAGGAGACCTACAATGCATACGTAAACAAATCGGATACTGCGTCTGAAAATATTACACATTTACACAATAGTTTAATTGATACGGAATACATGATATATCTTATATGTGGACAATAATATCTACATAACGTACATAGTGAGATCTCTCTGTTTGGTCTGTTGTAATATACATGCAATATCTACGAAAAAGCGTAGAGATGTAATACTATTTTGTTTAATGAGGACGCTCCGATTCAGATGTTGGGTGTTCTCCACAACCTAGTTGTATTTACAAGCAATTTTTTTTAACAGTGGTAAAACGATTAAGTATATAAATGTTGAGTTGGTGAGTGGTTTGGTATATGATTTTCACATTTGTAAGCAAAATTCATCTGATAAATATTTCAGAGATTAAAACTAGAATAACTTTCTTTATTATAATGCTTATCTATATTCCTCACACACTGTCGCTCTGCCTTATTCCCACCCCACATTAATCCCTATATTGTTCGCCTGAAGCCTTCTCGGCTGTGTACATATATACAGTGACATACCTGGTATATGCTACATTTTAATTCGTAAACAGTGAATTTGTGAATTTAAAATCTTTTGCCTCGCGAGAAATCATCAACAAAATGCTATTCAACGTTTATAGTATTTCTGCATTAAAATGAATGGCGAAAGTGGATATCTCGTGACATGGTTTGTGATGCAGCTGTATTTATTTACACGAACTGTTCGTCTGGATGATGGGCCTGCACACGGTTTTATTTTAATTTGATGTACATGTGTTTTACAACAGACTTGATTGTTTGCACAACTCCAAGTTTGTATTCGTTTAGTTATCAAACTATCGGGATAAGCAATGTGCGAATATATTTGAATTATTTGAATTGTGAAATATGTCTAACCAGTATGTTCACAGTAACATGTATCCACCATTTGACGACCTACAAATGTAGGTCAATACACGTGTCAGTATTTGTGACACGTGATGTCCAGACGTCGAACAATCTCAGTATATACATGATCACAATGTTTGATCTCTGACAATTGTTGTCATAGAAACAGGAGACGTATATCAATGAATCAAAACGTGGAGAATTACACGAAAAGTATTTCTTGTATATCACTATGTGACGATTACTAGTAATATATTTTCAAAAAAGCTTACTTCTTAATGCGACCAACAATTTAAAATGTTAAAATGCAGATCTACTTTAATATTGAAAATAGGTAAAGGTTTGTTTTGAAGAATGCAAGGCTTTGTAATTTGAATTATGAGACATGAAATAAAAGTTGTTATCTCATTATATTCTGATTCAAGTTCAATTCAAGTTCTTTATTACCTGAAGCCTTGTCGATGGCTTACAGTAAGAACGTCGAAAGTGCTGATATTTTTGGGGAAGAACTCGTTTATTTCAACGTTGTCCTTTATGTCGAATAATGTTATATGTAACGGATTAATGCTTATTTGTAAACTTTTCTACCTAAATATAAGTATGTATTTTACACATTTGTCTTGATATGAAAGCAATGATTAGGACTAAACAGAATCCCTAAGCAATTTTGAGGAGGATTCAGAAGGAAAATTAAGAATCCGCCCAGTAGAACATAGACTTAAATGGCGCTAAAGGTTTTGACTTGTCACAGAATTAAGAAAAGCAATGAACCCAAATGTTGTAGGTAAATCTTCAATCATTCTTAAATATCATTATTCTCCGGGTAGTGTTTTATATGTATTACATTATAAGTTCACTTAATGTATCAGCTGTACTTCTAGCTCAACAACATGTCATGATCACATACTACAAATTGGTTATGTCATAGATTTTTTAATTAATCAACACCGATTTCAATACACAAGCTGCATATAACATATAATTCTTGCTAATACAGTATTGATATGAAAATACAACATTGATATGAAAATAGAATATATATAATCACAAAACTATACCAAAGTGACCTCATGACAATCACATCACACCATCCACCTGTTGGTGCATCAACAGTGTAGACAACACATCTTTACCACAACGATATATACTTCTCTTTAGTTTACATAGCTTTGTCAGTTCCTTACCATCTCGTACACAACGGACGCCAGTGCTAGTCGGTCCAAACTGGTCATTTGTCGGATCAGAAGGAGATCATGTAATCATCGAAATGTCACACTCTAATATTTTATTTATTAGCTCACCTGGCCCAAAGGGCCCGTCCGTCTGGCGTCCGTCAACTTTTCATTTAAACAACTTCTTCTGAAATACCGAAAGGCGTAGAGTTATCATATTTGGCTGGAAGGTTCCTTTGATGAAGAAGCCAAACAAAGTTTGCAAAAAGAAATTACCTTGACCCATAATCAAGGTGACAGAGGTCAAACGTATTAAAACATTTAAACGACTTCTTCCAAAATACCAGAAGGCCTAGAATCATTATATTTGGCTAGAAGGTTCCTCTGATAAAGCCCAACAAAGTTTGCAAAAAGAAATGACCTTGACCCATAATTAAGGTCACGGAGGTCAAATGTGTTAAACGTGGAACATATGCACAGATATAGTAATGTTGGTCATAACGATCCAGATGAGCGATACAGGCCCTCTGGACCGCTTGTTGGCTGTGTTATAAGAACTGTAACTAAGTTGAAAATGTATATTGTATCCTTTGCAATCAGTGCTCCGATCACGTGATCAGATCACATGTACATGTAGTTTGAAAATCATGCGATGAAAAATATGCAAGTGTGTGTAACTAGACTTGAATATTCATGTAAATTAATAACATTCAAAACAATTGTTACTCTATACATTGAACTCCATGCAAGATGAAAGACGGGGTATTTGTTGTAAGTGAATAAATATCATACCGATTAAGAAACACGATAAATCATATAGACAATCATTACATTCATTCGTTTATTTGTGATCTTCGTGTAACAGGGTACATCTACATCGTTGTAAATGTCACATAATGGTAGCATATCAAACAGGCATGAATATGTATACAATGTAAAAAAATTTCAAACAAATCTGTTTAAACATCAGTTTGAATATACATGTAAAACCCCAGAAACAGCAGTCGTACACGTGATTTAAGCAGGGTTGATTATGTACAGGTCGTGAACTGTGACTAAAGACATTGATTCGCTGCTGCCATTCACTATTTCGTATATATAAGAGAAAAGTTTACTACAAAGAAATTTGCATCGAGCAATCTAATGAAAATGGCACATTGAAAAACATTGAAGATAATGCGTCATTGCGTGTTGTACACTTAGCTGGAATGCGATGAAAAATATCACTGCAAAATTTTGGTTTTGAAGCCGATGGATTGGGTACAATGCTAGTTGGAGTACAGGGGTTTGTCCCGAATGCCTAACCCAGCTATCTGTATAAATATATCATATATAACAAATACATGGACCGTGAGGTTGGTAATCCATGGCAAGCTCCTGTGTTGGGATTGGAGATGATCTCAGTACAAGCAGACTATCAACCTATGTTTGGAACATAACTCCGTTTACTTGTTTCCTGAATAGAATTGAAGATACGTTAATGTCTAGATTCAAAATGGTCCGTAACTGTTAAATAAATAGCTGGAAACATTTACTAAAGGTTTCTTTCTTTTAAAAAACCCCAGCATTAATGCATACATTTCCCCCGGGTCATACAATGTGAAATATGTGTAATATGGTTTATTCTTATACATTATGATTCGTGTGTGATTTTGTGTGATTTCAAGTCAATTGAAGGAAGTAGAAAAATAAGTCTTCAGACTATCGAGTTTGTTGATTTGTCCGACGTTGTTGGCGTGTACACCATTGGGGACAAAGGCACGCGGTTGTGACGGAGAAGAATGATGATAAATTTCAAGAATAAGAAAATACTAGAAACACATAAAATCGTTACTGAGAGAATGGAGTTGCGGTACCGAAGTTCAAGGTCAAAGTTTTCTGCAATCGACCCTGTAAGGGCTATTACGAGGACGATGTAAGGGCTGAACATGTATCTGGTGTAGTTGTCAAGTAGAATGTTCTCCGACAGGAACCACGAAATCACGAAAAATAACAGCATGCCGAGAACTGTGGTACAAGCGATGTCATTGGCTACTCCTCCACTGTAGTGCATCACCATGGCAACATTAAGGTGGGTCGCAACAGTGACCCAAGTGGCATAAAATGCTACTCCGTTCTGAAGGAAAAAACGTATGAACCATGCTTCCTTACCCGCGCCATCTTTAATCAAGACACTGAGGTTATTGTGTACTGCCCGACAGGAGATACCCAATATTACGTATAAGGTCAATGTCACTAAAATAATGTCCGCCAGGGCAATTTCTATATATTTCCGGTCAAACAATATCATCCAGGCAACGTTAAGTCCAAGATTCAGAATGTAAATGATATAGATTGCAGGAGGCATGACCGGAAGTTGATAGATGTAAATACCGCTGTCAGACTTCCGGCATATAGTAGAAAGTCCATATATAAGCCAAATGATTTGCCATATATAGATGAAAAACCATATGCTGAATGTCCAGCTGGCGGGGGTTATCTCCAGGTAGAAGTAATCAGACACGTCACCAGTACTACTCTCGTAGATACCTGTAATTCACAGAGAAAATTAAGGATTGAGTGCATGTTCTTCATGTTTTAGTTTATTACGATCTGGTTTATATCTAAAACATTTAATGAGGAGACAAAATAAAAGAAAACTTTGGCACATAATAAAACACTCAACTACATTTACAGCGTTTCTTTTATTTAACAAACTTCGATTAAAATCATCACGTGACTCTGTTCGATTGATCACCTGACTAAGTCAAATGATCACGTGCACGTGGCTAAAAACAATGTTTCAATTCTCTGAATGACTTTCCGAACATAGGTTTATGATAGGATGATAATGACTCTGTGGTCATATATTACTTACCAAGAGCTTTACCTTCACCTGATCCTAGGTAATTGAAGAAAAGCGTCACACCGAACACGAGGACAGAAATCAGGATTAATGAGATTCTGTAACCGCTGTGTCCGGAATCGGCAGCCATCTTCGATATCTGTTCAAAGTAGAAAAGTCAGCATATAAATTCACGTGTTATAGGAAGCACTTGAATTTAACGTCCTTTTGTGTCGGAACAACGTCGCTGAATGTTATACATGTACAGATAGACAAAGAAAAACTTCCTCTCTAGAATCTGTCTGACCGTGTCTCTCTTTATACCACTAGGTATAGATAGACAAAGAGAAAATTCCTCTCTAGAATCTGTCTGACCGTGTCTCCCTTTATACCACTAGGTATAGATAGACAAAGAAAAACTTCCTCTCTAGAATCTGTCTGACCGTGTCTCCCTTTATACCACTAGGTATAGATAGACAAAGAAAAACTTCCTCTCTAGAATCTGTCTGACCTTGTCTCCCTTGATACCACTAGGTATAGATAGACAAAGAAAAACTTCCTCTCTAGAATCTGTCTGACCGTGTCTCCCTTGATACCACTAGGTATAGATAGACAAAGAAAAACTTCCTCTCTAGAATCTGTTTGACCGTGTCTCCCTTTATACCACTAGGTATAGATAGACAAAGGAAAACTTCCTCTCTAGAATCTGTCTGACCTTGTCTCCCTTGATACCACTAGGTATAGATAGACAAAGAAAAACTTCCTCTCTAGAATCTGTCTGACCGTGTCTCCCTTGATACCACTAGGTATAGATAGACAAAGAAAAACTTCCTCTCTAGAATCTGTCTGACCGTGTCTCCCTTGATACCACTAGGTATAGATAGACAAAGAAAAACTTCCTCTCTAGAATCTGTTTGACCGTGTCTCCCTTTACCACTCGGTATCTATGATAAAATTTATTTCTATACCTCTGTACAAAAGTTAAAACATGCCCTTTACTTAGTTAATGTTAATCGAATGAACAACCCCCTCTGGTAATGTTGTATGGAGGACTGAGAATATTTTAGAATACAATATACGGTGTCTTAAGTGATGTACAAAATTATATACGACATTCCTTTTTAGGGTGATACCACGCACATTATACGATAAAATAATCAAAATATCTTGTTATCATTTGGTGTAGGATAGCATGAGCTCGACATTATATTTAGAATATAAATAATAATAAAAAAAAAACAGACATCATGTGAATTTTGCAATGATACACGCATTAAAATGTGAAAATATCAGTTTAGTTCTGTTTCTACGCTACATTTACTTTTAAAAGAAATGTTTATATCAAGGATACCTGTCGTAAGGTATATCCGCCAATAAGATGAAATTGTATAATGATTTGTGTTCTTCAAACTTTTTTTATCCTTTTTGGCAACAATATACTTAAATACTTTCAGTATTTGTCCCTTGTAAATTTAAACAACTATTCACTTTAATCTTACCTTAGTATAACTGCGCTGTTGGTTAGTATTGGCCTGACTGCACTCCAATCCAACCGTTTCCCTTCAAGTACAAGTTCAATATTTGCTAAAATGCCATATACCCACGTTGTATATATATTCACAAGCTAACACGTTACTCGAAACGTGACATTTCTTTAAAAATCAGTCGTAGTCACTGAACTGTGACAAACATCTTGTATAACAACTGTTAGCCGTTTCATAACCAGGACATACCTCCCATAATCAAAAAGTGTGGGAAATGTTACCACTGTCCACTGCACACCTAATTGGGTAGTTATGACGTAAAATGGACGTCATTTAATAAGATAGTAATAATGACCGTAGGTCAATGAATAGAACTGATTTAAATAACAATACAGTTAGGAGTTGTAAACTTATTTACCTTTGACACCGACTTACCCGTACCGTGAGACGACACCCTCTGTCCAGTTATTCATATACTGACCGTTCCACCAGTTTGTTTGACGGGCAATGTTACGTGTACGAATGTTTGTTATCTTTAAACACAAGAATTTGTTATCTTCATTACGTTAATGTTAAAACCTGTATCTGCGTAGATTGTGTATGTAAGATGTGTGCAGCGATATATATGACATATGTTGGGGCGGTCTGGCAAACACTTGTTCCATGTTGTGTAATCAGTCAATGTATCGGAAGAAAAATCATAGAAAATCGATATGTTGTCTTTACGGGAGAAAAAGCGTAATAATGTAAGTATGACTTTAAACAGGGTGTTTAGTAGTCTGGATAACCTGCCTAGTTACGGTCAGATTTTGATTACAATATTCTTCATCTAAATGAACAGATTTTATTCCACTTTTTAAGAATTTGCAGTCCTTTCCTGTCCATTCAGCACATTATAGAGAAACCTTTTTTGACATCTAATATCTACATGCCGTACATACAATAGTTATTATAATGTTAAAATAACAATGTTTGATTGATATTGATAGTCCGTATTTGATACTGGTCAGATGTTTATTAAAAATGTACTACAATTGATTTACTATAAATATGGCGTATCGATTGGTTCCTCCGTGGTTGATCAAGAGTGACCAGTCAGTGTTTGATGATAAAATTTTTTGTGAAAGACTGGTACTATGGAAAAGGGGCCGTTTCATTATATCTAGTTGTTCACTGAATCACGTATTGATTCTGTTCATTTGTAAATATGATGATTCCAAAAGTCAGTATCAGTTTTGTAACCCCAGGGTTGTCAAGGGTTGAAAAATTCTGTCTTGCACGTCTAGTTGTAATTTCTCGAGTAAGGACAGCTTACTCATTCTAAATGCTATTTGAGGGGCCATCTTTGGACATTTCCAATGACCTCAAAGTGTTTTACAAGACGTGGCTGCAGTATGATGATTCTTATATGTCCTCTGTATAAAGCCTTAAATGCATTTACATGTACAGTCTATATTCTACAATAATCCTCATCATCTCCACTATTGAATATGCTTTGTAGATGACAAGTTGTGACCATAGTAAGTCAGTGTAGATGTCAATTGCTCTTCAGAGTTAACTAATTATCCTTCTTATCAATCCTCGTTTCAGATTTTTTTAGCTTAATAACTTCAAATAAACTGTATTCAATATAATTTGTTACACATTTACTATTTATTCTCTACACTTTTCTATAGTGTATAAAGTCTGAAATTCCCCATGTTTCCCCACATACAATGGTTAGCGGTCAACATCTCGACGTTCACTGATCACAGCTCATTACTGTTCGGTCACCGACAAATTCATCCATGTGCCAGAGGAACTGTTGTCAGAATATACAGAAGTGAAACACAACGCATTAGCACGGGTTGTTTCCCCTAGAAAAGTCCAAAACGGAAACCTGTGAGATCATGATATAAAATTTTTTTCTATGATGATTCGGTTTTTAGATATCAACGATAGAAGGTATAACAAAACATATGTAGAGTGGATTTTCAGTAACATGTACTTCTATGACCAAGCTGTTGGCTTCGTCCTCGTGCAACAATTTAGTCCTCTGGTTAAACAAAACACATGTTGACCTCAAACCAAGTCAACAAATGTGTGGTATTTACCACAATATCTAAAATGCTATTTATTAGGAATATGTGATATGAAGTAACGTGCTGTGATTTTCTGAAGATTCCCATTGTGAATTGTGCTGTTGAGAATTGAGAATACCGCCAATTCGGATTCCGTATCAGTCTCATAAACTGTGGTTTTCACGAATGTTTACAAAATTGCATGTGATCAGCAGAATCTAGCATTAGTTCCATCTCATATGATATTTCAAATTTTTTCATGTTACCCCAACAGAGACGTGGTAAAAGATACTATTCCACACCGACTCCAGGAATAATATACTAAAACATCAGAAACACGGATGCCAGGAACCATATACTGTAGTAAAACATCATATACACGGACGACAGGAACCATATACTGTAGTAAAACATCGGATACACAGTCGGCAGGAACCATATACTGTAGTAAAACATCATATATACAGACGACAGGAACTATATACTGTAGTAAAACTTTAGATACACGGACGGCAGGAACCATATACTGTGGTAAAACATTAGATACACGGACGACAGGAATCATATACTGTAGTAAAACATCAGATATACGGACGGCAGGAACCACATACTAAAGTAAAACATCAGATACACGGACGGCAGGAACCATATACTGTAGTAAAACATCAGATATACGGACGGCAGGAATCATATACTGAAGTAAAACATCAGATACACGGACGATAGGAACAATATACTGTAGTAAAACATCATATATACAGACGACAGGAACTATATACTGTAGGAAAACATCAGATATACGGACGACAGGAACCATACACTGTAGTAAAACATCAGATATACGGACGGCAGGAATCATATACTGAAGTAAAACATCAGATACACAGACGACAGGAACCATATACTGTAGTAAAACATCATATACGCGGACGACAGGAACCATACACTGTAGTAAAACATCAGATATACGGACGACAGGAACCATATACTATAGTAAAACATCAGATACACGGACGGCAGGAACCATATACTGTAGTAAAACATCAGATACACTGACGATAGGAACCATATACTGTAGTAAAACATCAGATATACGGACTGCAGGAACCATATACTATAGTAAAACATCAGATACACGGACGGCAGGAACCATATACTGTAGTAAAACATCAGATACACTGACGACAGGAACCATACACTGTAGTAAAACATCAGATACACGGACAGCAGGAACCACATACTGTAGTAAAACATCAGATATACGGACGACAGGAATCACATACTTTAGTAAAACGTCAGATACACGGACGACAGGAACCATATACTGTAGTAAAACATCAGATACGCGGACGACAGGAACCATACACTGTAGGAAAACATCAGATATACGGACTGCAGGAACCATATACTATAGTAAAACATCAGATACACGGACGGCAGGAACCATATACTGTAGTAAAACATCAGATACACGGACGGCAGGAACCATATACTGTAGTAAAACATCAGATACACGGACGACAGGAATCATATACTTTAGTAAAACGTCAGATACACGGACGACAGGAACCATATACTGTAGTAAAACATCAGATACGCGGACGACAGGAACCATACACTGTAGGAAAACATCAGATATACGGACTGCAGGAACCATATACTATAGTAAAACATCAGATACACGGACGGCAGGAACCATATACTGTAGTAAAACATCAGATACACGGACGGCAGGAACCATATACTGTAGTAAAACATCAGATACACGGACGACAGGAATCATATACTTTAGTAAAACGTCAGATACACGGACGACAGGAACCATATACTGTAGCAAAACATCAGATACACGGACGGCAGAAATGACACAGTAAAACATTCAACTGTAACGAAGCAGTCGAAACAGGAAAGGCAGCAACACCATATTTAAACAACAGACATATAAGACAACAAAATTAACCGGAAGTTTTGAGACAATCGAACAACTGGTTATCTAGCTCGCCGGACAGATGTGATACAATTCCTAATCAAAAGTTTCAATGAAGACAAACGTCTTGGTAGGTATTATTAAGGAGTCAGTAAAAAACAAAAAGTCTCAAATAACTTTCGTCATTTTTAATAGTCTTCTGTAATTTACACTCAATTATGCATGTGTAAAGTCAGTGAGATACTTATTCCATGTAGTATCTCATTATTATTATGATACGATGTGTGTATGTAGTGAAGTTGACACAGGAACCACAGTCATGACTTATTCCTATATACAATTAAATATTCCTCTCATTGACGGAATCTTCATAACTCCACGCCAAGAGTCTCCAAAGTGACGTCATGACATAATGCCATATCATGACACTAAAGCGATCATACTGGATCCATCCATATCCAAATTATTGTAAGCGTATACAAGAGACAAACATCGATTATGCAATTCGAGGGCAAATATTAGAAAATGGCATAGGCAGACACAACTAAACTGCATCTGTTCTGATATGCAAAGTGTTATATATTTGATATTAGAGGATATCTAATGGTTTATGTGAAATATCACATACATTCAAACATAAAAACAAGCGGTGTTTATAAAAGTTGGGGAAATATAACTGCGCTCTTTTGCGTCAATAGCTTGACATTACGCTTGACAACAAGATGTCGTTATTTTAAATAGGCTGTTTTACCTTTTTTCTACCAATTTATGATGTTGTTTGGTAAAAACTGCTTACAAAACTGTTTTTATATACCAAATTAGCGAAAATCAGAAACGGGAATCATTTGATGGAACTAACCTTGTTCAGCCAACGCTTCATTTGTGTCGGCGAATTTCAACGAAGTGATTAGAAAGCGATATTCTCGTTGATCAAAAGTACGAAAGTTATCAATCTCTTTCAGAGATGTCGTTCATTAATAGTAAAAATACACTTCTGTTAACGACTACCAACAGCTGACTTCGCGGTCAGGGTCAAAGTTTGAAATCGGGCAAAAATATGGTGGCATCCTGGATAACACCAACGAAGGAAACATTTGTTTTGTATGCCATCGATCAGCGTTAACGCCATTATCTTTCTGCGATAAATTTTACTACGTTTATAGCCATATTGATCAATGTAGTCAATTTTTATTTAAACATATTTCATATTTTATGGAACAATTTCAAGTTTTTTCTATTAAGCTCTTTCACCACTTAACAAAGTACATAATGACAAGACAAAACATGTTGAAAAAAAATTACACGGAGAGAGAGAGTGTGTGTGATTTGACGTATTTTTACATTGTCTTCCTTAGAGAAGTTATTTTTACCATATAGAAGTAACTTAAGGTCTACAACGATAAAATCCTTTGGTTCTCGGTAAAGAATTACTCTCCGATCCGCATAACTATTGAGAGTAACGTAATCATTTTTCAGGCTAACAAATGTTTCTTTTCAAAATATCGACATAAATAACAAAATAGAGAAAACCAATTAAATAATTAGTTATTAGACACAAATACGTGTTTAAAGAATCTTAAAAAGGTGTGAGTTATTTACTGAGGTGATATGTAGGGTACCGCAATGCACTCTGGGAGAGATTCGAAAGTCATATCTTACTCACTGTAGTGATGATGTCAGTTATTATCAAATCAAAAATATATATTACTGGCAAAAAATAATAAGCGAATCTGATGTCCCGAATTTTCATATCGAGCATCGGCATTTAACAATATATATATTTCCAATAATATGTGGCAATGAAAAGTTCATATTGAGGTATATCGCAAAAATTCATTCAGCAATGTCTCGTTTGAAACTGTTTCTGGAAAGCCTTCTGAAGACGTTTAAGCTTCCAACTTGAATGATTTTTCTGAACTCGTGGGCGTATGGCCACTTGCAGATAAAGGCGCGCGGTTGTGACGAACAAGGATTATAATCAGTTTCAAAATCAAGAACAACCCACTGATGCCTAATAGAATAAAAGATGTAATCGAGTTCCGGTACCGAAGGTCAAGGTCAAAATTTTTTGCCAACGAACCTGATAGGGCTATGACGAGGACGATGTAAGGGCTGAACAGGTATCTTGTGTAGTTGTCAAGAAGGGTGATCTCTGTCAGGAACCACAAGATTACGAAAAATATCAGCATGCCGAGTGCAGTGGTACAGGCGATGTCATTGGCTACTCCTCCACTGTAGTGCATCACCATAGCAAGATTGAGATGGGTCGCAACAGTGACCCAAGTGGCATAAAATGCTATTCCGTTTTGAAGGAAAAAACGTATGAACCATGCTTCCTTACCCGCGCCATCCTTAATCAAGACACTGAGATTATTGTGTACTGCCCGGCAGGAAATGATAAGTATAACGAACAATGTCAATGCCATGATCGCGGCAGTCGGAAGAGAAATGTTTATGTACTTTCGGTCAAATAGCATCATCCAGGCAACGTTGAAACAAAGATTGAGAATGTAAGTAATATAGATTGTAGATGGCATGACCGGAAGTTGATAAATGTACACACCACTGTTTGACTTTCGACAGATAGTAGAAAGTCCGTAAACAAGCCAGATAATTTGCCAAGTGTAGATAAAACCCCATATTGAGAATGTCCAACCAGCAGGAGTTATCTCCAGGTAGAAATAATCCGATATGTTGGCAGTAGTGCTCTCGTAGAGACCTATATATGAACAAGAAAACGAAATATAAAAAAAAACTTCAAGTCATTATATATCTATATTCAACTCTTAAATAATCTCATTAAACATGCGATTTTTACCTAGAACATTTAAACGCGTGTTTAGCTGAGAATAGTACATCCGCAAGTGTTACGTGCAAATTACATATCGATTTCGTTGAGCAATGCTCTTCAGATTCATGTTTTTCGTAACGATTTAACATTCTTATATAGGTGTGATACACTTTTAATAAGAATAGAAACTATCTGGTAGAAGCGAAACTAATACTTAATACTTAAACTGAAATTTGTTACCAACGGAAATCGTCCTATCACCTGGTACAATGACCTGATCGTCTACGGAATGAACAACTTACCGATAGATATACCAATATCACCGACGGCCAGATAGTTGATGACAAAGGTCACAATAAAAAAGAAACACGTCAGCAGCATCAGCAGGATGCGGTAACTGCTGTGTTGGGGTTTGGAACTCATCTTCGATATCTGAAAAAGAGTATTTTCTTGTGTTTTTTTATCATATGTAGACAAAGTGATCTGACATTCTACCTGATAGAAAGTCAAGATACTAACCAGAATTTCCAATTCTTAAGTAACAACACCAACAACTATGCCGGTATTCTGGCAATGACTTACGGAATTCATAATAATGATAATAATAACAGACAAGACATAGGTAAAAAAGGAGAAAATACATATTTCATTGCTGTCCTGCAAAGTCTAGATACAATCTCCCAGAATCCAGGAGTTTCCAAGTATTACCATAAATACAAGTCTGTAGTACTTAACGAACCTAGGTGTTTGTGTTTCTGTCTTTCTAGTTTTATTATATAAAAAATGTAGAAGTAAAATAGCTTACAATATGACTCAAGACAAAAATACAATAAATTACAAGTGCTTTTTATAACCTGTGTCTTATGCAATTAAATTACTTTGATATACAATATTTCAAATTATTATCGATGACTCAGTGACATACAGATCTTGGTAAATAATATTTTCTTTTTAATGTTGGTTGTCCGACTCTAGTAGGATAAAACCTGAAAACAATTCATACCTTTTAAATAAACAAAACAAGCAATGTAAGTTTGATACGGGAAATCGATTAAGAGGATATGTATTATTATTGTGTCTAAGAAAAAAATTGTTCTTATCACGAGTTCTGCATGTACCTACATGCATGTGCAGTCAAAATTAATACGAGTGCAGCTTTGTTTCGGTAAAGCATACATACATGTATGCCATTTGCATCGAATTCTTAACACACTCATAATTATGAAGATTTATTTTGCCAATATTTTCCTGCTGAAGAAGATCTTCTTTCCATTGTTGATATGACCTATGTCATGTATACTGTTTAGAGCGGACGTGATGAGATGTACAATCTTTGTATTAGGACTGGATGGATATAGATCACAGAAATAGTGTTGACTGTAAGCTGTATACGGTACATTTAGTCCAAAGAAGAATGAGAGGAAGCGGACACAAAAACAATTTTCGTATAAAACCTTTATCTCAATGGAACAATCAAATAGTTGGACGTAGTATTGATATTCTGATATATAACAATGTTAGGTGTAGGCTAAGTATGGTTTCTCTATTGTGCGTGTTCATACGGAAGTTAAAGGGTACATATATATCGGTGGCAAATCAATTATCATGGTAGATTCTCATTTTAATACTGTGGGAAGAGATTGGAAATGTTTTTGTCCACTGTTTGCTGCAGTTTTATCCTTTTAACATTAGCCTTCTGAAAGCATTGGCCTGCTGAAAACACTGGCCTGCTGAAAACACTGGCCTACTGAAAACATTGGCCTGCTGAACACATAGGCCTCCTGAAAACATTGGCCTACTGAAAACACTGGCCTGCTGAACACATTGGCCTAATGAAAACATTGGCCTACTGAAAACACTGGCCTGCTGAACACATTGGCCTAATGAAAACATTGGCCTACTGAAAACATAGGCCTGCTGAAGGTTAACATGATAAAAAATTATCATTGATATTTTATCACACTGGTTGGAATATTTTGTACTGTGACCTATCATTACCGATGAGCAGTAGTTTTTAACAGAACGAGAATTTGAAGAAATCGCCATGCACATTGTTTTGTCTTAAAAATCTCTCCCATCCTCACATATTAAACATGTTGTTAATGTTAATAGGGATATATTATACTTACCTAAAACCTTCTTCTAATAACCGTGTGTCTGCACCCGTCCCCTACGGTACATTTGTGTTTAGTACCCCAATACTCGCTAGCATACACGTTTTCTGAAACGTGACATCCTTTTTTAAATGATTTTTAACCACTGATCCTTGACAAAATATCTGGGCCGTCTACACGTGTATACAGCCTTTGCGTAACCATACGTAAGCGAAATAACGTGCCGTTGTGTAAGCCTGATGTTGTTTATTGGCAAACTACTGCAACTTTATACATAACTTACAATGTTAAAAGGGATGAGCATCTCCTTGTTACCATGAAGGTCTAACATACTGAGATCACCGCGTCAGGATAGAGAAACACGAACGATCCGATCTGGAGACGTTAGACACACCTGTAACTTGTATACACTAAGTATACGAACGCCTAGTCTCCATGTTAACAGCTAGGTAATGCTGGTTATTGTACAACGAACATTGTCTGGAAAACAGAAAAAAATGTGTATAGTTTTATTGAAGACAGAGAGTTTTTTTCTAGAATACCCGACATAAAAGCTACTTCAAATATGTACTAAAATATGAGATACACAGACGGTATCCATCATATACTAACACATATATTTCTCTGGTTCGTTTTGCCACCATGATAGTAAATCCAATCCATGGTGCAGATGATTCGATATCCAAAGATTTGATCCAAATATGACGACTTTGATGCAAGATGTCGGCAACTGACGGACAACTTCGTATCGAAAGGTTTCAAGAGAAGCAGGTTGATAAAAATGATGGAGATTTGTTACGGTCGTCTTAATAGCCTCACTCAGAATTAAGAGGTGCAGTTTATATTGTTGTGGATATGAAGTTGGGCGTGGTTGGTGCCCGTTAGTATACCTGTGTTTTTGCTACATCTCTGTTGACATTACTTACACGTACTTGGATTGACTAAGATTTACACAGCGGGTGTCGTCGACGAAGCAGAAACCACAAACCCTTCCTTGATACTGTCCTAAAGTCAATGAATTTGAGTCTAAATTAGCATTCTGTTGACATGTCGGGGTTTTTTTGTCGCAAGTTACAAACAAGTAAATCTATGAATTAATGATACCATGTACTAGTTATCAGACACTCAAATATCGCAATCAAATTAAAATGATTAAATGCTCATCTATTAACACGAGGTTATGCCTGCACATGTAAGACAAGTACTTACCATTACTAAACGTTATCATCCGTACTTACCAGTACTTGTCATCGAAACAGTTCTTATTAGCTCTTAGTAGATATGATTTGGGAAAAAAATATCAGGAAAAGCACGGAGAAATCATCTTTATCTATCTTTAATATTCTGCAATCAATTCAACGTGTACAATTACAATATATTTGTTGTAATTTGGCTAAACAAATCCAACTAGATTTAATACGTCAATCAAATATATCTATTCAATGTTTCTAGAATAATATTTTGTACATATTCAAAATTATAATTAAGTTATAAACCGTCAATTGCTTTCATACATAAAATATGACGAACATGAATATTAATGTTATTAAGCAGCAAAAGAAAGGATGATTAGCAAAACTGTAACTAGATTAACTGTGCATTCTACCTCGATGCTCTTCCGAATCGATAATCTGGCGGATAAACGAATGTTGATGCAGAGAGAAAGAGACAGGTTTAGCCGGATGGGTCACTATAAAGGAAAGCGTCCCACAAAAGCATTACTAAACGTTATCATCCGTTACTACAACAATTACGATGCAGACAGAAAGAGACAAGTTAAGCCGGATGGGTCACTATAAAGGAAAGCGTCCCACAAAAGCTACAACAATTACGATGCAGAGAGAAAGAGACATGTTTAGCCGGATGGGTCACTATAAAGGAAAACGTCCCACAAAAGCATTACTAATCGTTATCATCCGTTACTACGGCAATTACGATGCAGAGAGAAAGAGACAGGTTTAACCGGCTGGGTCACTATAAAGGAAAGCGTCCAACAAAAGCATTACTAATCGTTATCATCCGTTACTACGGCAATTACGATGCAGAGAGAAAGAGACATGTTTAGCCGGATGGGTCACTATAAAGGAAAACGTCCCACAAAAGCATTACTAATCGTTATCATCCGTTACTACGGCAATTACGATGCAGAGAGAAAGAGACAGGTTTAACCGGATGGGTCACTATAAAGGAAAGCGTCCCACAAAAGCATTACTAATCGTTATCATCCGTTACTACGGCAATTACGATGCAGAGAGAAAGAGACAGGTTTAACCGGCTGGGTCACTATAGAGGAAAGCGTCCGTTACTACGACAATACTAAAAGTCGGTGCTTAACGTCCTACATAGTTATGTAAAGGCATCTCTTAAAAAGAATCAGCATTGAAGTTGTTTTTGATATTATAAGTAGTTATAATCTCTGTGTATATATATCGTCCATCATTATGTTCTATAAACTACCCGTACAGAGAAAGTTATGGCTAGATCTCACTTAGAGCAAGATATAAACAAATTAGCCAGAAACTGTATTATGCCGAATAGTATAGTATCCGCAAACATCACCAATTCACATATATGATATTATGAACTGCCTTCACTTGAATATTGGCCTCAATACATGGTGTTAGTGTGGTTTCCCAATAGTTTTAGGTTGAAAAGGGTTTTAAGAAGCCGTTTATGCATTCGACTTCATGACCTTTTCGGTTGAAGTGGGTTTGTAGACAGTTGGAGACAAAGGTTTACGGTTGTGACGAATGAGAATAATGATGAGTTTCAAGACAACGAAAAATCCAGATATACCTAAAAGAATTACTGCGAGGATCGAGTTCCGATACCGAAGGTCAAGGTCGAAGTTTTTCGTAATCGACCCTGTAAGGGCTATTACGAGGACAATGTAGGGACTGAATATGTATCTGGTGTAGTTGTCCAGTAGGATGTTCTCCGTCATGAACCACAAAATCACGAAAAATGTCAACATGCTGAGTGCAGTGGTAGACGCGATGTCGTTAGCTACTCCTCCGCTGTAACACATAACTATGGCAAGGTTAAGATGAGTCGCAACAGTGACCCAAGTGGCATAAAATGCTATTCCGTTCTGAAGGAAAAAGCGTATGAACCATGCTTCCTTACCCGCGCCATCTTTAATCAAGACACTGAGGTTATTGCGTACTGCCCGACAGGAAATGATAAGTATAACGTACAATGTCAATGCCATGAGCGCGGCATCTGGAAGAGAAATGTTTACGTACTTCCGGTCAAATAGTATTATCCAGGCAATGTTAAATCCAAGATTGAGAATGTAAGTGATATAGATTGTAGGAGGCATGACCGGAAGTTGATAGATGTAAATCCCGCTTTCTGTTTTCCGGCAGATGGTAGAAAGTCCGTATACGAGCCATAGTATTTGCCATGCGTAGATGAAAGCCCATATCGTGAATGTCCAACCAGCAGGAGTTATCTCCAGGTAGAAGTAATCAGACACGTTACCAGTATTGCTCTCGTAGATACCTGTAACATATCAGGGAACAAGGATCGTGTATGCCATTTACTATAATTTTCAAATCATATGCCGAACTGTAAAGTAATCAAAAGTAAGGAAACGTATGTTTGAGAAATCTTACCTTGTTTGGAAAAGCAATAACTGTCTTAGAGTAGTGGGGGGTTGGGGGGGGGGGTTCTCGGTCAAAATTAGGTAAAGGTGGTTCTCCTCTTTGTATGCTACACGTCATGGAAAGGTCCATATACGCATGTATCAGGTTCTCGAGTCCCTGTGTACGAGATCTTGTATCAGGTTCTCGAGACCCTGTGTCCGAGATCTTGTATCAGGTTCTCGAGTCCCTGTGTACGAGGTATTCTTGTCGGATGTTTTGGTTTTGCAACAATTGTTGTCAATATCACAGATAACTACTTTTCTACTTTTATATTCCTCATTAATGTGATTATATCTGACTTACCAAGAGATTGCCCGGCCTCAGCTGATGCCAGGTAATTAAAGAAAAGTGTCACACCTAACACAAGGCATGTCAACAGGATTAGTGAGACACGGTAGCAGCTGTGTGCCATTTTGGATATCTAAAAATATGAGAAACACAGAATGAGACACAGTGTATGTATGTATATTTCTATAACAGCATCTACCAACTTTTTATAATTTCGGATTAATTAAAAAAAAAATCGTGACTGTATTCAAAACCGAAGTCTAGATATTAAACCTTTAAAGCTTTATTTTCAAACATTGTGCTGTATCATAGAAATAAGTTATAAAAACAAAATCACAAAAAAAACTTTAACCAAAACCAATAATTTGAAAATATTTTCCCCGTTTACATACATCATAATGATTCGAGTATACGCCTTAAATTATTCAAAATAAATGACAAGATCAAGAAGATAAATCGTAAGTTTTATATGCTATTTTTTAAATAGATTCAGATAAATAGAATTAATTCGAAATCAATATTTTGTAAGTTCAGATAAAAGATTTTGGCTGGTAAAATGCTCTGCATTTTCGTTTGTTAATTTTACATTATACAAGTACCTGCCAATAATGAGTCTACTGGACGAAGTTAATGACTAGTCGTGTACATCCTATACATATCAAAATTGTTACAGGTAGGATTTATTTAATCTACAAGATTATATTATTTAACAACGCCAGATTTCTAAATAAAAAAATGATTTGATTTAGCGCCTGTTCAAGAGTAAAGATTAGAATTTCAAACATTCATTCAGTTCAGTTTCACCTTATGTCCTACTCAAATCGGTCATACCCCTATCCCACCTCCAGGTACATGTTCTAAGCCTATTAACCTACTTACGGACACGTTTCTTTAAACGTGACCTGTACTTCTGCATGTTTCGTGGCTACTCTACTGTGACGAGACAAGCAATTATCCTTGTGTGTCGTAACCACACTCATACGTGTGTTAGGGTGGGCTTTCTGTCTGAAATCTGAGGCTATAACCGGTGGGAAAGATATAAGCTTGATGAAATTTGAAATATCACCACAACTTCTACCATATACTACAACTGGTTACCTTACATGTATAACAATCAGAAAAAAAAACGAGCGATATGGACAATTGAAAGTGACATGTATGAGGATTGTCCAGCTCAGCACCATAACTATCACAATGTTGTTTTGTAAAGGAACCAGTAAGAACGCCTACCTGTATTATACGTCCCTGGCCTACCCAAGGCAACATAGTGTTGGGAGAGGTAAATATTATTTTGCCAGGGAATATGATGGACTCAAATAAATAAATAAATAAATAAATAAATAAATTCGGCAAAGTATCCATCCATGCGGTTCCTGGGTACGTCGAGACATGTTGCTATTGATGGTGAAACATGAATTGGTAGACTGAGCGTCATGTGAACAGTATTCCAAAAACTTTTATGCACAATTTTAAATGACATATCTAAAATCGGGGTAGAGAAAACGTAAGCGATATGCAGCCGTTAATCATGAAGAATGTTTACCTTGTTACTCTACATACAAATATGTAACCCATCATCTACGAGAAAAGTTCCATGTAACCGTTCTTTTCACCGACACCATTTACTCTAATTAGGTGACCACCGTCTTCCCAAGCCCGGATACATTAAAATAATTTTTAAATATCAAAAACATATTTCTGGAAAGTTTTCAGAATGATTTTCATCCCGAATGAAAATTACGACCAATCTGTTTCTCATTTGAAAACTTTAACTGTTCACATGAAATATGTACATCAGGCATATTTCTGGACACGGAGAATTTACCATATATTCACTATATATGTATATATATATAATACGATCTACAATGTACGTACAATTTAGGGCTTGTTCAGCACACGACTGTGTTGGAATGAACAGTTACTTTGTGTAAGAATGTTTGTCAATACAGTTTGTACAATAGGTAGAAACGTACGCTTAACGACCCTGACCAGACGTACGTCACCGAGTTAATCAACTGGAAGTACTTATAACAGAGTACCAGTTTACAATCGATTTCTCTTCGACATTATTTACCTTTGTGTAAGTATCCTAATGTGATAAGATCGATAAACAACGATTGAATCAAAATGACCAAACTGGCAACAACTATTACAATTAAAAACATAAGATATGTAGATATTATATACATGTATTTCTTGGAATAACAGAAATTGTACACTGAAACATCGGGTATAGAGCTGGCAGTTATTACGATCGCATAAGCGTTGTTACATATTGGAGTCAAAAGCAATTCATGAATGACATACATACCATCGGGTGCAGCGCCAACAATACACAAACACATAAAAATTGAGGTTATCCGATTTTTTACCTGCTTCCTTCTCTGTATTGTAGAACAGGTGAAAACTCGACACGGTCACGTTGATGGTCAGGTCTACCACTAAGCTGTACAAACACATGTAAATCTCGAGTGGTCGACCAAATCGATTCTCTTAAACAATGTTAAATGCCCACGGGTGTGTCTCGTGTGACCACAATTATGCCATTAGGGTAGGTAACGTAACACGTGACCACGTTTGTGCTTGTTGGGGAGGTTACGTAACACGTGACCATGTTTATGTTTTTTGTGGAGGTTTCATAACGTTTAGCATACCTTACTTTGTTTTCATAATGACTGGTTTATTTCAAAATGCAAATTAACCAGTATTTCCATTCATTTGTTTTCGTGAGAAAGACTCGGTATAAGTTATATGAATATATAAAAGTTACCCCATTAAAAATATCGACACTTGTACGCCTCTAGTATAATTTTTCCTTACAAATTCAGTTTTACTTGTTTGTGATCATCTAGAGTTCAACCACATTCGATTGAACACCTAATTATCTTCCTTAGGTAATCATGATTACATGACCATGAAAGGGATTGCGTAGCGAACTGCACGTGGTACAAGTAACATGATTCCACAGTCTATTGCACACAGCCCCTTTCATGGTCGAGTAAACATGACTGCACACGGAAGGTAATCAGGCGTGCATTAGTAGTTAATTTATTATCCCCACTTAAATTGTGAGAGGTGTGAAGTATGCAGTTATAGCACAACCTAACGTCATTTAGTCTATTATTATTACGTATGACGGCTTAATACATCGACCCTATATGCTGCTTCTCCAGTAGAGCGGAACCACTATTCCACTGATATCTAATGGTAATATTGTACGTTAGGTATTCAAGATATTAAAAATCGCATGACTTTCAATACAACGAACAAGTCCGTAAGAGTATACATGAAAAAGAGACGTCCGTGACATGTAGTCTGAATGTATAAGTGATGTACCAATATGTGTCCTATGTCGAATAGATAGCCACAAAGGAATTTAGTGATTAGGGGTCCTTATTTACCACGTCTCTTTAAAATACATATATATGTGTTCTAAAGATTGCGTTTTATTTTTCCCACTTTAGGAATTCATTATTACATGTGAGAAAAAAATATCAGTTGACAATCTATACGAGTAACCTCCCTTTACTTTAAATACTTGAACCACACCTGGAAATATTTTTCTTTCGACTGGAATCTCCATATTGCGTATAAATCCTCTGGAGGTTTAATTATGAGGTGACCGTTGATGCCTTTTGTTTATTTGTTCTTGTCTATCACATATTTTTAGGAATGGAATGGGGATTTGCTTCCAGTTTTCTACACATATGTATATTTGTTTACTTATGTTTAGTTTATCTATGTACTTTGCAGCAACATATTGCTTCAGATCATACCATATACAACTATTAACAGGCCTTATAGATAATACTGTCGAGCTATACACTTTGTCAAAACGATGTCCGTATTGGTTATGTCACCAGGATAATTGTGCTTATCGCTATACAGGAATGCACGTGATTTGTTTTGTGTAAGTTATTGTATACAACAAACTACGGAATCTTCGAATTATTTCAGAAGTTTCCTGTATTGAAATATTTTGTTACAGTTTACAATCGATGATCCACACTAAACTTTCAACAGAAGGTCACTGTAATCCACGGACTACGAAATCTCCAAAATATTCCAGAAATCGTCTGTACTGAAATATTTTGTTACATTATACAAACGGTGGTTAATATCAAACTCTCTACAGAAGGACAGTGTAATCCGACGTGTTATATTTAACTGCTATGTATTTTCAGGATCTGGAGATGCACTAGTTTACTTGGTATTAGTAACATAAAATAATGTTACATTGTGATAGTATATTGACGATGTTGATGAACGTTGTTCGTCATTGTGTTTTCAGTATGCTTTTGTCATATGACAGACACCGTCAAAGTTAGCCATATGGGATATCTTAGTTATTTACACCTTTTCAAACATTTTAAGTTACATTATATTGTTGGTGTTCATTCATTGCCATTGCGTCTTGTACATTGTATACATTTAACTGACTTCTATTTTATAAATAAAACAAAGCATTATTTATATTAAAACAACATACTTTTATTCATCAGTTGCTTATAAAGAGTATCAAACAACAGAAATTACTGACTGGTGCTGGCAAAGTCAAACAACAGAATGAAAAAAAAAAAAATGAACGATGATTAGCATCGACAGGTTATGCGATATTACTAATCGAAATGTATAAAATTACGAAACGAAATAAAGGCGAAACGAAATAAAGCATAACCATCAAAATGATTGCATGTGCTGGAGCAAAAGCCCCATACCAATAAGTGATTGATTTATGAATATGCGAACCGCCAGCAACCGAAACGGTTCGCGTGCGTAGATAGGAATGACGTCACGCCAATTATCTCCTCTTTAATGCTATACGTATCAAAGAGGAGGTTTTCAGCATCGTCATGAGGATTAGAAGGTACTGAGTGCACATGTCCCATCCAGTGCTCGTGTTCATATATTATCAAGATGTGTGATACTGTTCGCTTGATAGGAATTTTCGTTGCGAAAAAAATGATCTATATCTAGCAATTGGTTCACTACGGTGAAGGCCTGTATCATGTCAAGACTCATTGTCTGGTTCGACATATCCGGTCTAAATCGAAGAATCCGGAACTAAACATTCCTTATTATTCTACGTAAAATAATCAAAAATTACCATTAAGGTCTTAGAGATTCGCTTTAGACAGGTCAACACTATAAACACATGAAATACATGACTGGTTCATGAACAGGAGAAAACGACTTGTCAGTTAAACTTGCAATGGATTAACCTATCTCTACCCAGATTTATCGTTCCTTACTCGCATTTGTTTTCGTGAGTGAAAGAAAGGAACGATACTTCTTCGTAGAAGCTGATTAAAATAAATATCTTAACCAGAGGTAAACATCGTCATGATCAAACCGCTGTTCACAAAACATGCATAACAGGAAAAAATGGTAAAGAAATAAGACCATTTCATCGAAATCTACCCGAAATTTTTTAACGAAAATCCTAAAATCACACCTTATTTGTAAAAACAATTGCCCAAAAATTTGGGTCTTCTGTCTAAATATGACAGCAAAGTAACCATTATGGAATTAATTGATCGTATTTATACACCGAATGTCTTATTTTAGGAATCTTAATTACGAAACGAAACATTAAGATATGGCCTAAAACAAACATATGTACAAATGTTTGTTAATGAATTAGTGACTGGCACATCATACATCATTGCTATAAACCTACACTACAAATACGTCTATTTGACCCGTGTATTTTCATAATCATCGACGGAAAGTGTTGATAGAATCGTCATCAAATTTCTGTAAGTCACTCTAACACAAAAAGGTACGCTATGCTATCAGATCAAAATAAACAACAGTTTTGACTTAACGACCATCAACATCTTAACCCGATGATAATATTGTTCAACATTTATATACATTTATATTTGAACTTTAATATCAGTCACTCTGCCATTTTCGTTGTCTTTTCACATTTCGACGAAATGATTGTCGTTGTACATCACCTATTAAAAGGCAGCGTTAATTCAAAATTTCAGTATTGAACTCCCAACTGTTTTGCTTCGAATAACATTGCACTTTATGTGATGACAAAATGCACATTTATCCCATGGCTGTGCTACACCTAATGACAGAGTTTGTGACAGAATTGCGTCCAGACATCTGTAAATTTTGCAAGGATTTTCTTAGTTCTGAAGACACACGACCTCCAGATCTTCTGCCGCCATCTTGCAATTGTGCAATCGATCCAAACATCGCGGTGTCAAGGTCACTCCTAAGACGGTCAAGTTCAAGTTGTAAGTTTTCTGTGTCATATCCGGTTTCGGTCAATGATACGTCACCGTCGTCTTCTGGAATATATATACTGGAATAGTCGGACCACTCTGCTCGAGATTTAGCATAATCTGCTCTTGATCTTGTGAAGTCGGCCTGTGACCTTGACCTCGTTTTCAGTTCCTCAACGATCTTGTCATTTACATCGTTCAGAGCATCTCGAATGGCAGCTTCTGCTTTGTTGTCACCTAGCAACAAACGCACATGGTATCAACTTAATATCAATATAATTTTTACACTAATATTCGAACTGACATATTTGTTGTATCATACAAACAGATAAGCGTTAATAAGATAATCATTATGAAATATATGTAAAACTGAATTATAGATATTCATCAACAAACTAATGTTGAAAAATAACAGATCAAATTAATACCGAGATTTCTTTTATAACTTTATATAACATATCTTTCCAAAATTTTTTCCCCCAAAAATCGAGTTACCACACCTAGTGATAGAGTCAAAGGAATAACGCACTTTAGAATGCCCAGAGTTGTTTAAAATACTTAAAAGAGTGCAGTTATTTCATGACAGTAATAAAACTCTTTAATTTGCTTCATCTCATGAAAGGGGACACGTAACCATTGCTGCGTAAACATAGTGGTAAATAAAAGTGAACTGCTCAAAAAATGAAGAAAAGGACCTAAAATAAAGTAAAAAAGACATTTACATTTGTTCTTATGGATGATACTGTCTTAATAAAATGAAGTATTAAATGCCAAAAAGATGACGAAATCACAAAAAAGATGGTAAAATGGAACAAAAACAGTCTTAACTGATTCCTTTTGAGAACATCTCTTTTCTGCAGCAAACATTAATAGGATTTCATGTAGTGAAAGACAAAGTAAATCGCCAGCAACAAATTCATACCAAGTACATGGGGACCGTTTTTCTACTATTGTTTAGTTTTTCACAGTGTAAGCAGAGTAATGCTGCACAGGATATCTTACAAATATTACTTTACCTTGCATTCTAGCCTGATCCATGGCTCTTTCGAAAGTGTTAAAGGCGGCGTGGTAATGGCGTAGTTTCACTGTAGAGGAAGAATACAAAAAATAATTCAAATCGCAATGACATATGTTCCCAAAGCATTACGTTATGCTAAAGAACTAAAACTTTATATCACAATGAATTGTGTTCGAAAAATTACTACAAGGTATCTAAATGTTTAACAGGTAGACACGAATCCAATCTCAATCATGATTATTCTAGCTCTTTCTGAACCAGTTTTTATCAAATATTATATCATTTTATACACAAATGTATCTTAAATCACTATTTCTACATTTAAACAAGTAAAGATAAATCATTTATTAAACTGACATAGCAATACACTTGAATACTGGTTTACGTACCTTCCACGACCCCTAGTAGGACCGAGCTTTGAAGTTGGTAGTTCCAGTCAAGTGCTTCTTCTGCCGCCTCGACTGATCGTCGTGCCGCCTCGCGAGCGTACTCATACTGACCCAAAACCAGGAAGCAGTTTCCAATTTCGTGGTACAACCATGCGGACTCAACACGAGTGGTACACAGCTGTATCTTCCGGGAAAATCTTTGAAGGAAAGACGTTTATAATGTAATACAAAAATGAAGTTTCATTCCATAGAACTCCAGGAAAATTACAACTCCAAATGTTATGCCAGGACATACTATGCACACTTAGGGACCAGTTTTCTTAACAAATCTATTTATATTCATCACCAACTCTTTACCGATACGAAATGAGGTCAGTAAACCTACTCGACGATATGATGGAGATATTTAACATAGCCGATATGGAATAGAGTTACGTTCATCAGCAGTTGTCTACATAATGGTTTTGATGGTCATATTTACTTCCAGCTGCCTCCATTTTAAGGACCGTCTGTATACCGTTTGATTGCAACCATAATTAGAGAAAATGTCATTAATGGTGAAGAGAGTTAGTGTTTAGCTTTTGTACTTACACATCCAGCGCCTTCTGGTGCTTGCTTTGGAACACGTAGATTCTTCCTAGATTTCCTAGGGCACGTGATATGGCCTCCGAATCGTTACTAAACGAGAAGATGTTACATTTTTAGAATTCGCATGTTAAAATATAAATTCAACAAATAGCAGTATTTCAATACTACAAACGAACATTGCAAAATCAGTCTTCCACTTCTTTAAATAGCATGGGCAATCCATTTAATTCACTCATCGATACCACAACAACGTATAGTTTATAAAATGATGAATACGTATAGATGTAATAAGTTGATGCTACCGGATAAATATCATTTCTCTACATATATTCCGAGTTTCAAACTACATCACCTATCTAGTCCCCTTAATCTTTTTTTAAATAAAACTCATCCCTAGGTAAAACCCATATAAGTGTGTCTTACCGGAATGTCTTGACATACTTCATTCATGAAGAACTCGATACTACTTTCTTTGTTCTATTGTCATTTCACGGTCATGTCACTCGGACACGCCCTTTTCTAACGCCACTTTCTTTGCTTGAAATCAATATAAGTAAAAACTCTGGTGAAGTACGATGGCTTGCATTCTATTATGATGTCATACCTTTTTTCACCGATTTCGAGATCTCTTTGGTGGTATTCCAGACCAGTGACGTAATCCCTCATCTCAATGGCAGCGTTTCCTATGTATGAGTAAATCTTGGCAGTAAGCGACATCACATTTGGAATATCATCTATTGTATAGCTGTTCATTGTGTTCAAACAGCATTCGGCTTTCCTGGCGCATTCGGAATACTTTCCTTCCACATAGGCTGTAAAGAAAGGTAAACCCGAATGTAAACATATAAGTATAGTTAACACTTTCACCAAACCAAATTACTTTCCTTTCTGAAACATTATTAAATTCATACTTTTATTTCAAAAACTTTATATGTGCTTATTTGATATAGAAAGAAACAACCTCCCTATTCAAGAGTACATCGGCGGTTGGTAATCCTAAATATCATCGTACTTACAAATACAACTTAACTTTCCTTTGTTTGTTTGTTTACAAAATGGTTCTGACACGTACCGAATTCAATATCTTCCATAACTTTATCAATGTAACAAACAATCGGTTCCTTTCTGATACGACGTCGACCCCGATTGTGCTTTGACATGTCCGTGTTTGCATTGGGAGGTTTGAGAGTATTTTGGGGGCTCTGTCGTTCTTCCATAACATCGGGACAGACGCGTCGTGCACTCCCATTTGACTTAAGGTCGAGATCGCTATGGCCCTTGTAAGTGCTAAAACTAATGTTGAGTCCAGAGTCGGAGTCGGATGACGTGTGATGTTGACTAAGGTTATCCTTGAGTGTATTATTTCGTATTTTCTTGCGTTTCAGAGTGTTTTCCTGTTTAGGTCGACGGATGACGGGTCGCTGTGAACGCTGTGGATCTACAGTGTCCCTCAAATGAACTTTCTGCCCTTCAAGGATATGAAGGAACTGTGGAGGATTGGCTTTCCGAGTATTAGCCTCAGCAGCTTTTTTCTTGTCAAGATACCTAAACCAAGATCCTGGTGGCATAGGGTCTTTTTCTTTATTTCCTTTACTTTCCTTGTATGTCTTTGCCGATTTCTCCTTCACGGTGCTTGAATTGCTCTGGGACTTATACGTGGAAGGTCGAGTTGTTGGGGCTTCAGGAGGAATAATTCGTCCTTGCCGTACCCAGTATAGCACACGATCGTACAGAAAATTTAAGCCGGTCTCCGCCATGTTGGTGAGGTCTACGCTGCCTCGTGGCACATCTGCAATGCAAACATACTTTCATGAAAAAAGTGTTAATTACGTTTATACTAACGTAACAAATTGTGGTCGTATCGTTTTGTTTGTTTTGCGGTTTACTGAAGTAAAAGACAACAATCAGACGTATAATAACACACCTGTCTGTTCAATAAGTTTCTCCAGGTACTTTTTGTCGCTGTACATTTTCCCCAATACTTGTTTTATTCGTTTTTCTGTAACGTCCTGGTCTGGGACTTCAGCTGACGTAGAAGAGGTGTGGTTTGGATGCTCATTAGAGTTTCGTCCCTGTTCGATGCGGACCAATGGATTTTGTTGTCTCTGAGGAAATGTTGGTGTTGGTGCGTCCCTTTCGACAGAGTTAGCAATTGGAGATAGCTTTGCAATATTATTTCTTTCCCGTCTTCTGATCGAATCCTTGCGATTCTGGAATCAAGTGAAAAACATAGCATTCAAAACAAATGCCGTCTTCTATATATATGATAATGATGGTTGTAACTTACGAAACTACAATGACAATGACAATGAGTTAAGACTCCCTCTAATCATCATTTCTTTCATGCTTTATACTACTCGTTGTTGGGTAATTCATTACGTTTAAAGCCTCGATAAATTTTGATTAAATGTACATTACTAAAAATATTAATAAATGTACCCTATGCACATACAATAATCCGTCCCGTTGACGTGCCTAGATTTTGATTTTTTTTTTCATTTGTGGTAGACAATGAAATATCTTTACTGTAGTATTTCTTTAATTGGTATTAAGGCTGTTGACTAAATGCATAGAATGTATATTTGATGACTTGAACGGGTGTGTTGACTTTATCATGACGGTGTAAAAAGGGGTAACTAAACAAACAATACAGTACGATAATCACTACCACCCAAGCAATTCATTCCCATGTAGAATAATCATTTTACCTTCGAGTTGTTGACCAGCATTGTCAAATCCCCTGCTTGTGTCATCTTCCTTCGGCGACCTATTTCATAAAATCATTATTGCGTCAATGAGAAATAGCATACGGTGTGATAGGTAAAATTAACTTATTCTTTATCATATAAGCGTCGGCGTCATTTCAACCAATTTGCAATTTGGTATATTTATTATTTGGTATAATTTATATATATTATAGTTTTACCGATTTTCGTCTTTCCAACATATGCTTCAGACGACTTTTCCTTTTTTTTGTTTGCATTATCATTTTGTCGTCAGATTTCGTTGCTGACAAAGTGAAAAGAAGAAGTGTCCTACAAGTATTTGATTCACAATTGTTACCTACCTCGCTTCTTTCAATAAATTTTAAATGTGTTTTGTTTCAGTAATTGTTGCAACAGTACTAGCAAAGCAAACTCACCGGAAGTGATACTGTTGAGAGCTTCGGTTGCCTTATTCAGCCCTTCCTGGAACTTTCGTACGTCTGGTTTCTGTCTACATACTTTACCGTAGTACACAACTGCCGATTCGTAGTTCCGCTCAAGGAATAACAATTCAGCCTTTTGAAAAAGTGCCTGAAACGTACAAAATTCTTTCTAATCTCCATTGACGAAAAGTGATGTTGCTTGATATTTGCAATACACTACATTATGTACGTATTCCAAAACAGTAGAAAGAGTTTATATCTAGACATAAAGGGAAAATCATTATACAATAAATAGCTCGTAACCACAAATCCAATATACAAGACCCGTTGTTTTAGTCTAGATGGACCCTCATTAGTATTGTTGTTACCATGTATTTGGATACAACCTATTAAAATCTTTGAATGTCTAGACGTGATCATATGGTTTTACTATGTTGGTATAAACATTGCAATAAATAACATTACAACCACAGAATATAAGTTCACTTCTGGAGATATTTGTGTAAATGTAGTTTTCTTTTTCATTAGTTTGAAGGCAACTGTAATAGTCTCAAAGGTATTTCGTGACACAATATGCTATGCTACGGTAATTTTAAATGTTATATATTATTATTATTATTTTTATTTATACATGTATATTGAAAGTATAAATTACGAAAATACAAAGATAAGAGATCAATTTCCCCCTATCATTTTTGAGGAGAAAGATAAGATAAAGGCATTGTTTTTGTTTTGTTGAACACCTCCAAATTAACAAATATAAGTCAGAAGGCAGGATTCAGTATGCCAAATGTCACAATCCGAATTGTAAAAGAGATAATGTTTTTAGTCTATACATCCTGTAAAGTCAATTTGAAACAAATGTTTTTTGTTTTGTTTAATGGTGAACAAGAACCTTTGTTTTCAATATCACGATAAATCGTGTGGTATCTGATCATTTTATTGTAACATATCTGCGAGTTAAATGTAAAATGTCATAAAATGAAACACTATACCGAGTACAAAATAGTCAATCAATTGTTCATAAGTACGTTATACATAGGGTCCTAAATCAGGTGGCTTTTATAAATATCAGTGACATCATTTCTGCAGAATTGGCTAGACACAATATCAATATAAATACAAATACGATTGTTGCCAAAACACCGGATTTACAATTATGTGTGCCTTTATGATATTTGGCGATTTGTCCACGGTTCAATACATTCACTTTAAAACTAATCTGATTTAAACAAAAAAAACTTTGGCAAGATGTGAACAGTGTATTCGATGTGTCACGTATAAATTCGTGTCAAAGAAAATTTCAAAAGAAATCGTAACTTAATTAGATTAAAATTATTTGAATTTGTTTGTTTACAGTTGGATACTAGCCCATATTTTGTGGTTACTATGTTTGCCTCGTTTTAAGTGAGGTGACGGGATTGTTCTGTGTTATGTTGCTATATAATAAATAAATAGATAAATGTAACAAAATTGTATTTGTTTTCAGTAGAATACCTCATTTGGACTTCGGTAAAAGCAATGTTATGTTACTAATTGTACGAAAAAGAAACCTATTTTCAAAATCACGTGCACTCGCGTGTTGCTGGTAATGGACATATGAACAGCATGCCTACAATTTGGACTAAATTGGACTTGAACCCGATGACTTGTATGTGGTGATATTCGTATAATGGCTTTTTATGACGTTAAAATAAAAATAGAGAAGATACGCTTCATGTCGCGAAAAAAAGTTTTAACTCTTGGAGTTTTGAAAATATACTCGTAGGTCTTTACTGACGGATATTGTAAATAACTATTTATTATGACACGTGTTTCAAAGTGTGTAATCATTGCACGTAAGAATGTCGATCACAAAAACTGCAGACCATCCTTCACGGTTAATTAAACTAGTAACATTATGGTGTATGGCAGATCTTTTTTTATGGTATACTTGTCTTTTGTATTATATACAAGATATAAATTACGAGTATTTCCCTATGGTAGAATGTTCAATAACAATGTATCCGAAATCTAGTCTATATATAGTGCCCAAAAAGTCTTATTTAAATATAATGGTTATCTTTAATAGCCTTTCGTCATTTAAAAAGAAAGTGAAAACTTGTTAGATTTGGCTGTCATTGACACAATGGATACTTATTGGCACCCAAAACTGTATGTACCACTAGACGTGTGTATCCTTAATATCTTACAAGTCAAAGATGTCTAGAGTCGAGAAAAACCACGATAATACTTTTCTTCTGTAAGATGATTATGTTGTTATTGCTGGATATTACTTTGTCCATTACAAAACTTACCGATTTAACTACCGTCCAATGTGTATCAAAAGTACTGTGACTCGGACGAAATTATAAAGAGAGAGTATAATAATTTGTTGTTTTAACCTCAGATTGGAAAATTTCACCTTTGAAAATTTTATTTTATTTTATTTTATTGACGGAACTACGTTGCATACCATCCTTAATGTTTAAAAAGTTTCAAACTCAGATAATGATGAATTAATTATCAATATATCAATATATGATTAATCTCAGGTATTTACTAATAAAGCTGTTTCAGCATAAACAGGATATTATTTCACCAGGGAATTTGATTAATGAAACTGCATTGCATACAATTCTAAATGTTTTAAAATATTTAGACATTGTCTGAAATTTCTTACATAATGATAAAACAGTAACTAATTAATGAATATATCATCAATCTCATATCTTAATAAAAAGAAGCGGTTATATAGCAATAACGACCATGCCATAACAATGTATAAGTAATATATTTGGGGAGTTGGTGTTGTTTAAATACTATAAACAATACCCTGATTCTATCGCCGATTTAGATTGTCAGTGATATCCCCAGTATGAATCTACTTGATCTCCCGACCGATCAACTCCACCAATGACAGAGGGATCACTAGTTATCATGTTGACGATCTCAACAGAGACACAGAAGCCCCCTAGACGTCAAATGTTTCTTAATGCATACATTATGTTTTTTTCTTATTTATTTATTAGCTTCATTTAGTACTGGAGGTTTGCAGATATCAACTTTAACAACCGATTAACAATGAGTCTTTTCTTCTGTTTATTGTGGGAAATGCATTTAAACGTAAGAACTTGAACATAAATCTCAAGTAAAAAAGTATTTACATAAACGAATGATAAAATGATAGAAATGTGGACATTCGAACTTTGTTATCAGCCCTATGTTCAACAAACCGAGATTTTTAATCTAATTTAATTACAAATTATCTACCGTGTAGATTTACCAATAAATGTTAAGCAGTTCCTAATTGAAACATAACATAGGGTTTAAAATCCCAGTAAGCTTTGCTGCTGCGAAAAGTTTCAACAATGTAATGACAAGGCAATAACAATTTAAACCATTTGTTTCAGATAATAATATTATCATATGTGTCATTATTCGATGTGTCATTCTATATTTTCATCTTTTAAAATTTAACCTTATAGCTTATGTTGTGGCTTTCATGTGTAAATAATTCCTTCAATGCTTGTTTGTGTAACTAATTTCTTCAAGGCTGTCTGGTGTAAATAGTTACCTCAAGACTTTATTGTGTAAATAATTACCTCAAGGTTTTCTTGTGTAAATAATTTCCTCAGTGAGATTATAATGGGAAAATAAGAAATTGGTTTTTTGCTATTGTATGATTATGTGCATTTCAAATCAAACAGGAGCGTTCTAGAGTATCGCAAATAATATTCACACAATGAAGTATTCTTACACCACAGATTAAAGATGCTCATATACAAAAAAGAAAGTAAAAAAGAGATATTTGATATTTGATATTGATAAGCGTGCAGTTTATGCATAAATACAATCATGTAATCAGATGATACATATGAAAGACTAATTGTATATAAATAGGCACCTCGTGACAGAGTGGATCCAAAGCCAAGGCAGAATCCACGTCTAACATCGCCTTTCTGCTCCGTCCGAGTAGCTGATTGCAGCGTGATCTGGCGACAAGGGTGTCTTTGTTGTCCGGAACAAGTTTCAGCGCCTGAAAATATATATAAATGATATAAGTATTTGAAAAAATATAGTAGCTGAATGCATAAGAACTAAATAAAACACACTTTTAATGTCTCAAAGGATTCAGATCTTTTTTAGAATTACAGCAGACACTAGAGAAAATTCAACGAAACATATATATATATTCATTATCTCCCGATATACTGAAAACTAGCGATTTTATTATAAGTTTCTAGTATCCGAGATAAATATAAATTAATATATACCTTCCGCTTCGCCGCCCCGGTGGCGGGAAACCGGCCCTCCATGAATATTACTTTCATGCCATACATCTAGACGTTAATATCCCATCAATGAATGAATGGAACACTGTCACTACTATCAACTTCTGCAAACCCTGAACACTTCTCATCAAATAATTTATGATGTCCACCGACTTCTATTTAAAGGGAACTTCTCTGAGGTAAATTCCAGCTGTAGTCACGTACTTTGTTACTTAGAATAACAATTTGTGTTATGTTTCATAATTAAAGCGTCAGCCGATTTTGCGTGGCCGAGATAAACTAACGCGGATTTAGGCCAGATTTGGTATTAAGCCTTTCACCTGTACATGTAAGTGTTATGGTTGTATGACAAAAAGTGGTGTATTGATACAAACGTTACAAACGTAATGATCCGTAGATTAATAATTATTGATTTCTGAATTAATACAAGACATGATCTTATTTGAATATTTATTTGAAACTATGATCAACAATTATGATCATTTATCGCTTGACTTTCGATTAATTTGTATCAGTGATGTTGGATAAAGAAAGGCGTTAAGAACTTGAACTAAAATCCGATGGAATAGTTTTGTATCTTTTATCTAGGACTACGTGTACTCCTTGTATACGTTAAACGAGCAGAAAGTGGCATTCTCAGTCTCAACCGAAACCAAATGCCTTTTGTTTTGTTAATAAAATGAGCATGGAAATATGAACATGATTGCTGTATAATTGGTACTATTCGAGTGGGACTTATTTTCGCTACATTCCCGTTCAACAAAGATAACATTAGATTGAACATTGGGGGAACGTTAAACATCAATCAAAATATATCTTGTATACTTGTATACATGTATACACGCATAACCAGTATATAGTTACTGGCGAATTTTAATAATCTAGCTCAAACTGAGACGACCGCAAAATAAACGACCCGCGAAATCAAGTAAATCTAACAAAATTAGATAAAAAATTAATAACATGAGGGCAAAATAAAAAAAGACTATGTATTACGGGATTTGTTTCATCGATGGCTATGAAAGGCCAATCTAAGTAAGTTAGGTGGATATAGAGAACCAAGTTGATAAACCAATAGTCGCTCTAATGAACATCGAACTCTTCTAGTTCATAGTGCCCAAGAAAATGAAATTCTTTCCAATGAAGTAAATCTTATGGCGACTATGATATCAACTACACACCCCTCCCTTTGCAAATCTTCTCAAGGATACCTAAATCCAATGTTCTCAGATTTATACAAAAACACTCACATTAACTTTTTCCGTTACCTCTGTTGCAGTAAATCAGAGATTCCGATGTATAAAATACCCATTAGCCTCTATAATTCAATCATTGTCGATGACTAACTTTCCACCTATTTAGGTCTTTTCCCTACAATTCAACGCTCTTTGTCGGTGTCATACATATATATGGCTTTATCTATACACCTGACACTCTTTCCTTTCCAGCGATCCTTAAACAATTTCAATAAGCAGAGATTCAATTGAATATCGATTTATACAATAAAATGTCATTATAAATGTTTTTGAGTCCGACATTGATATTATTCGGTTAAATGATTTTGCATGAAAAATTTGAACAACGTTGGCAAGAGTAAGTGCTCAGTGTCCTGTGTTAAGTATAATGACCATCGTATCCATGACCACGGGCCCAGCGTACCTAAATTCGTTTCATGTCTCCAAATATTATTTCAGTAGAATTTTCTTTCTGTTTGCTAAGAAGTTATTTGGTCACCTGCACAATTCACGATTCTTCCTGGTTGAAATTCCTATTTCGGTAACAAAAACATAAAAAGCGAATCACATTATACCTATTATTAAAAACATTGCAATATGATTATGTTATATAATTGACTAACTTTACCTCTGTTAAATCTGAAGGAAATATTTTTTATGAATATGCTTATAACAAGCATGCGCCGGAATAAACAGCAGAGTGATTTAGATATTAGATTTAGGATTGACTTGAATTACATTTTTAAGATCATGGCAGTAACAGTAGAGAAGGTAATGTCAAAATGAAATTCATCGGGTTCGATATTATGTCAAGCCAAACACGGGAAAAACTAACCTCCGCTCTAAAATGAATTCACATTCATGGTGTATATATAAGTGTACCTTTGTTTAATTTGGCCCTTATAATTCTTCGTCGACACCATTTTATCACAGTCCTGTGAGCTTTATGGTATATAAGAGTAAGCTTAATATTATCCGACCCATAAAATCATATCTTATCGGGATACATGAAACAGTGACAAATGTAATGAAACTGGCTAATAACCCCTTTGTAAAATCTGAATCACGAGACGTTAATCTATATTTAGTAATATTTGGCTCTGTAGTAGTAGGGGACTCATCCTTATTTAAACAAACATAAGCTTATCATTTATATTCTTCTGTTTATCTGTTTACGTGTTTACGTAGTGACCTCAGTTTACAAAAGCCAATTAATTTTGCTCGGTGCCTCCATTGATATAGTGTCGGTCTGGTAGATACTCCATTTAGCCTATAATACTGACCGTAAACCAGCTTCATGTAGATATGGTGGCTATCAAAGCATATTTTCTTAAACATTAGCAAAGCCATATTTTTCGTTTTACCTTTTCAGTGTTGATGTTCACGAAATGTCGTTTGAAATTGAAATTAATCAAGTACGATTGAAATCACAAGTGCAGTTTCATTGAAAACAAATCTTCTTGTCGAGGCCTGTATTTGAAGTACGATTATAAACGCTATGTCTATAATGTTTGACCAAGAAGAAGAGAAAGACTAATGCTAGTGTTAAACTAGTGCTAAATTTGTATCTGAAGAATTTCTAATATAGCCTTTAATTTGATGAAACCGTGACATATAGCCAATTTTCGTCGGCTTACATTGATACATAATTGAATTCTCAAAGCTCTCGTATCCCTATTTCGGCCAAACTGACCAATAATGTAATCTGTGTGATATGGCTTGGTCATCAATTATGTATCGATCCTTGTGCTAAAGTTAATGCAGAAGAGATCCGGCCTTATCCTGTTTATTAATTTTAATGTTTACCAATGGAACTTTGTAAATATTCTGTACATAACCGTCACCATGTTCTGCTTTTGTTCCAAGAAGTGTAAATCTATAATAAGCGTGGATGTTAATTTGTGTGGAATTTTAACGAATGATGACGTGTTTCAAGTTGGCTCAGATATTGATCTTTCTTTTACATCAATACACTATATAAAATATGCTTTTACGAATAGGAAAAGAACAAACGAAAGGAGAAATATTCACAAATATATTGTTTGACGAGTGAAAAGAGCCCTCTGAAGTTATACGGGGGTATAATTAAAATATGGATTATAAAGTGTCTCCTCATGACTGAATTTCAACAGGTGTGGCTTTGATACCAAGTCTTCAATATGATAATAAAGGCGATATAAAGAGATTAATGCTGTCTATTTCTGGTTATTGTCTGGATGAATTTTTTTACTTATATTTCCTGTTTATCTGAACAAAATGTACCTTAATAAGCGTAGGCAGATCTGCATGCTAAAATTAGTCAACTTTATATGTGTGTTTAATGATAGTGAGATGTGCACCAAAAACATCATCTGATAGTAATTTGCCGCAGCTCTGGAAACTTCCGTAATTACCACAGTGCATGGCAAGTCCAGATCTAATAATATATCTGAAAATATCCTCGTCTAATTATGTTTACATGGCGACCCACACGCGCCGGAATTAAACCGTACTCATGATAGGTTAGGCGACATTGTATCGAGTGAGCGGTAAATATTTAAAAGTGTTGACATTTCAAGCCTTTTCCAGAAGTGTCCTGATAAGTATGTATGTTCTTACCATCTGAAAGTACTCGGCAACCACTGAAAGTCAAATAGTTAAACAACGCTCTTCAATAGAACTCAAAGAAACAGACCAATCTAAATCCCTCCCGTAAATTAGTAGATAACATACAAGTCAATTGGTACTTTTGACATCTTGCTTACTACACCCAAATGTCCTTAATAGGATTGTCTTTCGTTTTATCAAGAGAAAGTCCATTCAGCCAGAGGGGATATCAGGGAAATAATTAAGATAGTAACAGTTGCTAACATACTAGTAACTTGTTTGTTGGTAAACTTGCCATAGCGACCTTCATCGAAAATCGTCATTTTACTTGACTTCTTTATAAAGTGGTTTTGGCAAAATCTTATATATATGTGCCATAAATAACTTAATTTTAAACAAATTGTATTTAACAAAGACATCAGGAATAAGAGGTGAACTGCTTCCTCATGTGAAATATGCTTCAATGACCTTCTTAGTTTAGTCCAAAAAGTATAACTAGAATCGAATGTTTGATAATGACACAATATTGACGAAAGAATATTTGTCTCGTCATAACAAATGTTCATTGTATGACAAATAGTACATATTTAGTTGCGTGCTAATCCTAACTTATTGCCGACTTTTCAGAATCCAGAAAACATTTTCGTATTGATATTTTTGATTCAACAGTTTCGTTTGAAATTCGCTTAAATTGTCGCCTATATAAATAATTAACAGGGAACAGTGCAATAGAGGAAGCAGTGTAGAATGGATCTGATGTTTGTTTTCAATTTAAGATAGAAATCATCTTTAACAATAATCTGGAGAACTGAAGCGGAAATTACTTATCTGAGAACACATGCACACTTCATTATGCAATCCGAATGGCTTGATAAAGTGTGTTTAAAACCATTTCTATACATCAAATGTAACTATAGGCTTTACAGTTATAAGCATATCATTCCTATAAATATTTTAAATATTTACCGTTTGTACCACCGCTTTAAGTTACAACCCCTTTATAAACTTTTACAACAATTGCGAAACAAATTATCCCAACTTATATTTATCACAGCTGATGGCTCGGACGGAAGGAAGCCGGAGTGTATGGGAAAATTCCTCATGGTCTAACAGGAGACCGCATAACTTTTCACAACCGCTAGGAAAATCGAACTGCGAGCGCCTAGAGGAAAAACAAAGGCGTTACAAAAGCGCCATCCGACCACAAAGTTGCAGATGTAACCCTACCAAAACCAGTTGTATGCTTCTAGCAAAGGTATCATGTCGTTAAGAATTCCAACTGTATAAATGCAAGTTCTTCGTGTACAAGTACAGCTGCAACCTAACGAAAGACACTTTTTGTATGCGAGCACATTAAGTGAGATTGAAAATATCAAGAAGACATTATGATATAGAGAATATTGGTAAAAATGTACTATTATACCAACAAAAGTGTACTAACGACAAACATGATCAGATGAAGAGATTTTTATGATATACCAATCAATAAAAAAATAAGGAGGAGAAGGCTACAGAATATATTTTCACGAAAAAATGCAGTTGCCGGTTTTCATCTTATATAAGAAAATATAATACACAAGGTTGAAGATTTCAGCAACAATTTTATAGGTCCGTTCTATCCATTTAGTAAAATGTAAGGCTGATCATACGGGTATTGTCGCACAAAATAATTGTTTGTTCTCGGTGGTAAAAATTTTCTCAGTAAAACCCAAATAAATGAAAGTGTATTTCTATCAGTTAAAAGTTTCAACAGATTGACGTGTTTGGTGTTCTGGGTTTATTCTTGTCGTACCTTGTTCAAGAAAAATAAAACAAAGATAGATACTTACTGAACTGTAGGAATCCATTGCTTTCTCGTATTCTGTGTCTGCCATGAATTTATCAGCCTCGTTACGGTACACCTCTAGCATGTACTGCTTCCGTTCCTGCATCTTGCCGCCTGCGGCTGGCAGTTTCGGAAGCTGGCGTGGATGTCTAGGAATTGTGGGTACTGCAGCAGGATTTACGTCACGACCCTGATGAGCGATAGTATCGGTACTACTAAGGATGTTCACTGAAATAGAATTAACGGATGTCCCCATTGGTCTGGGAACTCGGGGCAAGGCCCGTGTGTGGCGGGCACCAGCGTTTGCTTCCGGCGGTTTACCTGGTGGAACCGGAAGTAATCTTCCAGATCGAGGTGCATGGGCATCATTGAAATTGTGCTGTAGCTTTCGTATATTCCGAGGAATATTGGTATGTTTGGGCGATGAAACCCTGTTTCCAAGAAGAGTTACTGTCATAATGATGAATTTTACCAGTTAACAGCTCGTTAAATGTTAACTTACAAACTAACACCAATAAGTGTTTTACAACAGTCACATCCCACTAATCAAGTTGTCGGCTGTGCTGGAAAAACAGAACTCACCAGCGTTTAATGTCACATTTTGATTGTTACATCAAAAACAAAACCTACACATTATAACATACACATGCGTCACACATTGTTAGGATACAGCTAAGTTCCATTTTACGTAAGTCTGTCCACGTATTTAGTCACATTAGATATCATACAAAATCTAACAATTATTCTCCACAAACGTTCCTCTCTACCATTCCAATGATCCTGTTGATAGCGAGCCGGAAACTGTCAATGGCCGTTCTGAAAATGAAAGTTATCAGTTATAATGCTCTTATCGTTGAAGTTGAAATGTAGTGATACAGTAGGCTGAAAATACCTCTGTGTGTGAATTCGATACACACGTTTAAATGGCCGAGCTAATGTTTGTTCCTGAGATTACATTTGTCAACCGACATGGTATAATGTTGTGATATAATGTGGAATAATGACATATTGTATCCACACCAAACCATGCCGAGATCTAACAGTAAGTTACTATCAAGGAGATAAAGTATATCTAACATTTAGACCATGGCATAATTCAAGTCTGTTTACCTGATATAATCTTTAATCAAATAGAACCAGGAATGTTATGATTTCGTACCCGATCACTCCGTAATTTGATAAGATAGTATCAAAATTGACAAAAAATAATGTAGCAGAAACTCAGAATCGGAATATTTAAAATACAAGTTAAGGTAGCAAAAAACTCTGGACCTGTATACGGCGTATCAGATTTCTTCACTCCGCCGTAAATATTCCAGTTAATTTTTTTCATATATCAGTGCCGAACTATTTTTTTACTGCAGGTGTCAGAATATAAGATGTGATTGTTAATCTAAGAGTAGGTGCTTTATCCATCGAAATTTAATTAGAAAATAATATGTCAATTACAATCATATAACGTGTTATCATTGTCGGCATTCGGTGCGAAGTAAATTAAACATACTGTTTACCTCAATCGTTCACCTGTGCATTACGGTAAAGTAACCAAGATTGCTGTCAGGTCTCCTTTGAGCGTGAAATTTATTTGAGAGGACTTAAATGGTTGTTATATACTTATAATTCTACTTATTTACGATCACTGCCAAAATAAACAATTAAAAAACATTATTTCCAGTGAAACTGCAATATAAATGTTCGGTATTGGTCTGTGTGTTATTGTGCGGCCGGTGGTTTTATTGGAGTTCACTTATTCACACGTTAATACTATAACAGTAATCCCTAGGAATACTTTGGTCGTACCGCGGTCATCAGCCGGTTAGCCTTGACCCCACACGTGTAATTAAAATGAAAAATACAATTTCAAGGGAGGTAATCTTAATGCCTACCATTGCTTATTTTTACTTTGGAGTATGTCCTCAATCACGCGCTGTTTCCTTGTATACAACATAAATTGACAGAAAATCTATTCAATGTTTGTAAAAAAACTTGTCTCTCTAGTTCACAAATGAAATTAATTGAATGCTTTATAAAATTTAATTGCATATTGAAAATTAACAGCTTCATTCGTTTGTTGGAATAGTTCTCTCTATCGATCTATAAGCGACGCCTACTTTATCTGAGCACACAATTTTAAATTGAAATGTAGGTACTGCGTTATGAGAAAATCTATCTTGAAACAATACTCTCAATCCCTGTACCTTTTTGTTTAAGAGCTGGTCGCCAGTGTTAAGTGATGATGATTAGTACATTTGTGTATACACCATGACGTATGTTTAAAGAGTCACAAAAGAATTATATTATCTTTATCGTCATTTCATTCTCTAATTGATATGGTAAGTTATTAACATCTAAATCAGATTATCTGCACCATTTAATAGTACAACTAGATCAATAACTATATTAATCACCTATAACATTTATATAAAGTCTCAATGTGTTTATTCTATCTAAAATAATGAAATTTGATTTTTATTTTGTAAGCAATTGTATGATGGAAACAAAACTAAACAAAAGATTTTAATTGATTGGCATGTTCTACAACCATGTCGAAATTTAGTTTTACTACATCCCGTTTACATGTTACCTAATGCATTTAATTTACATATCTGTTTTGCGTGGGCTTTCGATGTCTGGCTTTTGACTGTGTTGTTACAGTTCTAGTTAAAATATCTAGTGCATAATGTTTAAGATAGAAGGGAAAATGATGACAATGGGAGGAAAACCAAAACTTGTTGACATTTAGGTATTACATAATGTTGACTATTAAACAGATCATGCCCATTGTGAACACTGACATTAAGTAAAAAAGAGCTATTTCATGTTGTTTCTTAATTGTTTTCCAGACTTATGTAGAAAAGGGACTTCATCTTAACAAATAACAATAAAACTGTACTTGCACATTCGAAAATAAACGTGGTATAATGAATACTTTTGTGCGATATAATCTTGATTACATTTATGAGATTTTCTACTTATCATCAGTTTCCCTAAAACAGGCAAATATTTTAGCCGGAAATATTGAAGATTTTCATTTTAAACTGTCTGTATGTAGTGCTTCCTGTTCCTGCTATGTTAGTAAGTGTCAAATGCACATAACGTTTTTTGGGATGAGCAATCACGAGCCATGAGTCGTGCTACATGTTTATGTGTTTTCAATATTCACGAATATGACAACGGTGTGTCGTTAGCAACAATTTTAGACGAGAGATAAAAAAATTACAAAATTTCTTGTGGATTATAAAAATAGTATTCCGTAAATCTAATGTAAAGTTAGTAACATATGCAAAATAAAGCCAAAAACTGATGTATGAGACGATATTGATGATGAGGTGATAAGCTATGAACTGGTGATGTGATGTTTTTTGATGAGCTGGTAAGCTGTGAACTGGTGATGTGATGTTTTTTGATGAGCTGGTAAGCTGTGAACTGGTGATGTGATGTTTTATGATGAGATGGTAAGCTGTGAACTGGTGATGTGATGTTTTATGATGAGATGGTAAGCTGTGAACTGGTGATGTGATGTTTTATGATAAGATGGTAAGATGTGAACTGGTGATGTGATGTCTTTTTATAAGATGGTAAGCTGTGAACTGGTGATGTGATGCTTTATGATAAGATGGTAAGCTGTAAACCAGTGATGCGTTGGTGCCCTGTAATGAAACACGTAAAAAACAATCTACCAGACCAAGTTTCACTTTCTTATTTTTATTTCTTTATTTATTTATTCATTGTTTTTGTTACATATCGAAACAATTTATAATATTCTAGTTTTTATAAAAGTATAAAAGGAGTCTTTGTCATGTCGCTCTTTTTAATTGTTGTCAATACTTCTTCAAATGATTTCATTTTATTTCCAAATTGTTCTGCAGATTTTTTTACAGTGGTACATGTAGTATGAGTCATGTGATAAATGTAAGTGGGATGGCCAGTGAATGACCACAGTGTCCGGTTGTGGTCACCTGATGGACTTTAGATTATACAAGTCATTTATACAGTATGTTCTTCAATGGACCGACAGTAACATCAACATAACCAATGATAGGTAAACACTATTTAAATCCCGGAGTCGTGTTTTTATACATAATATGAAAGGAATTTAATCCGCGTATTTGTATACATACATTCAATATGTCAATATTTACCTTCGGTCAACACCATATACGAATTTTATATACATATTGATACAAATTGACCCCGTGTTCGAAATTTTATAATCCCAGTTTGAGAGCAGCGAAAGCTTTGGACAGGTTAATTAATCTAATCACCAAAAATCCATTTCATATGAGGTATAAAGTGTACATTTGTATGTGATAGTTTAAAAATGTGCTAATGAATCTATCTTTTATAGTTATATATGTTCATATATTTTGGATGTGAAAATCTGATTGTATTTCATTTAGTACACGTATAATTATACAAGTACCTGTTGTTAACTGTATGTATAAATTACTGGTTCTGGAAGTGCTAAAAGTCTTAAGTGCTGGTGATGATTTAATGTAAGAAACTTTTGAATCAAAATAACTGTCACTTTTGGCACTGTATTTGGTTAAGTGAACATTTATATAATATTGATGATACGTAAATAGATGTTAATGGTGCAATGAAAGCATTTTCGTGATGTTTAGATTACTTTAAACATCTCATTTTCGGGAAATTAACACTGTTTTGTAAATGTAAAGACCCCCTGGGTATATCCCTTATGTGTTTACCAGCATAAGGCAAAGTATCTAGATACAGCCTTTCATATGTACATTTTTGTATATACTTTTCTGAAATAGGCAGAAAAAAAAAGTACACTCCTGGCTACAGATGTGGTAAGCATTGAACATCAATTAATAACTAATTAGAATATATTTGGAATATTCATTTAAGAGCACACAACATATATACATTCTATAAAGTGACATGAAAATCACAAGAAGCATTCCAAAATACAGGTAAAGATGACGTCAAATTATAGTTTTAAAAATGTGTAGAGACAGAAATAAAAGGTAACAATGATATCAATGTTTAAATATGTACCGTAATATATATATTAGTATAGGTTTCAGTATGGAAAATGGGACTGGTGATACTGTCTTTCACTTAAAACAGAATACACACCCGTAGACAACGCAGTGCTCAGTAATAATTATCTTATTATTAAGTATAAATAAGAAATGACAGGATACAAATTTATACTACATACTTTTTAAAAGAACGAACAGGTTTTTTCAATTACATGCCACACTGATTAACATACAATTTATGAATCGAGCGAAAAACTTTTAACATAAAGTTGATCATAAATTTAAAGTAAAGTAAGAATGTCGATATAAAAAATGAAGGCTATCACAAAAATGGTTTTCTTTATGGCTTTTTTTTTTTTTTTTTTAGGAAAAACTTTAAACTGACGACGAAATGCATGATGGCAAATTTTCTGTATGTGAATTATATGATATATAATATAAAGCATTT